TTTTTACTATACTATATTATATTATATTATATTATAATATATTATAATATAGTATAGTAAAAAATACAAAAAATACAATACATTTAAAGGTCTAATACTATACTATACTATAAAAACTATAAAATGTAGTTTTTGAAGTTTTAGGCTTATAATAGTATATAAGGACCCACTTTTTTTAAAATTAGCTTATAATATAGAATTTATACTAGTTATCCGTAAAACTTATAATCTTATAAGTATTTTATTAGATTTAATATAGTTTTTTATATTCGAAACTACAAAAACTACAAAACTACAAAACTACACTACAGTTAATGCTCTGTCCACAAATCGACAGAAAATTGGATGGACCTCGTGTCGTCCTTGATCCTTGCCATTGCCTTTCTTGTTTTTCTTCCTTAGGTACCTAGGTTCTTACTTCTTAGTAGTAACGTCTACCTAGGTAGTTAGGCTTGTAGAATTGGCAGAAATTTGGCAGCTAATTGGAATCTAGTTGACAGGGTCTTGTCGTTCCGACTCCGATGCGTGCCAATGCGGTTCAAATGAAATTGGCAGACCTCCAATTATCCCTGGGCATCTAAGTGGCCGCCGGCCTCCAAGAGTCCCCTGCCAAGAAGATACATTGATCCTGGGTCAGACATAATTGTAACTTATCCCCTTGGAGCAGCGACGTACGTCTCCGCACCTGGCCCAGGAAACACCCCGGCAGCACCTTGTGATTGAAATTTCGGCACTTCTTTTCAAGTACATTCTTAAATGGTGATCGATCAGCAAGAACTGCCTATTGGTCCCAATCCCTGGAAGATACTAGTACACCGCCGCCACTCTGATGGGATACAGAGTGGAGGTTGGTGACCACTAGGTACCTACCCAGGGTGATATTTCTGCGTCAAAACGCCCCTTTGCTGTATGATTTGGGCCAGGCGTCAAATTGGGGAAATCCAATTTCGCATCTTCTGTCATCACTCATCACATCTGCACCGTTGACTGCGATGTGCGTTCAATGTTTTTGCCTTCTCCAACCCGGAGACCAACAATATTGTCTAGCAATCAGGGTGGTACCCTTTCACTGGATGATGGCCCAATCCTCATCGCAAACGAACAGATAGCTAGTGATGCGATTCCTTCAATATCTACGCAATTCTACTCGTACTTCTGCATTCATTCTCAACCATGCAGCTTTCTTCGAGGAACAAGGCTCTGAGACCTTCCAGTTGTTTCAGTTGGGCTCACAGTGTCTGATTCTTGCCTCGCCCATCTTGAAAACGACGATTTTTTAATTTGCACCTATGATTTATTCAACTGCATCTTTGAGCATACTGCGTGTGATTGGGAGGCAACGCAGTCTCACGGGCAAACAAGTCCGCTGCTATTGGATTCAAGTTTTCCGAGCACTACGAAAACATTGTAGCGACACTGAGGCATCATATTAAATACTCTCGTTCACCTCGGGGAACTATCCCAAGCTAACGTCCACCCATTCCTTCTCGTCGTCAACGAATTAAGCATACATTGGAGGGGACACGTGAGAGATTGTAAAGAAAAGGAACAACCACGGCCATCGAGTGAGTATACAATACAGACTACTAATAAACCATTAAAATCTTCTCAGGTGCGTAGGTTTCTACTGTCACCGAAGAACACGCTACCCGCCAACTATCCTTGCGAATGACGAGAACTAATTTTTAGGAAGACGAAGACTCACCTTGGCTGCATGCGCGATCGGTTCAAGCGTAGCCCAGGTTTGCTTTGTATCTGCGACTCGACGGATGGGACACAGAAGTCGACTTTGATTCCTGAGAAGCTGGCGGTTGGAAAATATGTGAAGTCTTCAAGTCGCGAATATTGGCTAACCTCTTGAATATAACGCCTCGACCTGCCGAGACTCCTGTTGGCTAATCACGATTCGAACCACCCTTTTAGAGTTACTGGACCAATTTGGTCTACGAACAAAGCAGAAGGAGCCGAGTAGGCGAAAAACGTATCATAGAAAAAAAGAGAAAGAAGAGGGCAATATTCGAGTTGAAGGTTATCTCGAGTCCCATATACCAATTTGGCTCGCTCATTCAAACACCCAACTGTTACAAACCGTTTTATTCAATTCGCTCTGCATATAGGTTGTAATAATATATACTGTTGAGCTTTTAACGGCCATCCAAGTGATGCAAATATCTGCATGGAAGGCAAAGGTAAATTTTCTACCTGGTGGAATGGATTTTGTACTTGGTGCGCATCAGAGACAAGCCCTACGTATAATTATCTGGGATACTGGAATCGACCGCAAATAAAAGGACCGCAGCATTGGAGCCGTGGTTCAACTCGCACTGACCCCTTTTATGAAGCCTTTCAGTGGCGACCAGACCGCCCGATACAAGACGCTCCCAATTCTATCAGTAAACAAGGAGGAGATCTGTTATGTTTCACGAAAGGGCAGTGCGAGCTCCACAGGTCTTTCAAAATTCCAGATAACTCGGTACTACGAACAAGTAGTGCAGGCAACACCACATTCCTGCCTGGTGTATCTTCAGACTTCATAATCTTTGGGACCGTCTACGTCAGCCCCAAAGTTTCCGCAATAGAGACCTTAATAGCTTATCACGCTACTGTCGGAGCGAGCAGCTTTACTGTAGATGATGCCGCAGGTCTGAAGTTTTGCCAGTATAACATGGTTCTAAGAGCGGCGGCGGCACGAAGAATACGACAGAATGGCATGATGGGTGGGAAAAAACAAGCCTGACTCAAGCCACACATTGGCTTTTATCCAATATTCTACTTTTTGCGTGGATACGTACCTATTTAGTGATTTTCATGCTCTCTTGCGCTTGGTCGTCTGCCGTGCATCTTGCAGTGTATCTGTCGAAAGATCTTGCAATTGAGGTTTTTCTTTCTCGCTGGCTGACGGGGCTGTCTAGTTCATCTAATTCCATTGATTGTTCAGCGTGTAAAGCTTGTAAGAATATGTACTTAGTTCTCATAAAATCCATACACGCACTATCTATATCCTGAGACTTACGATTGAATGTTACTCGTAAATGCAAGCATGCAGCTGTAGCTCGCCCAGGCTGTCAGAGAGCTGGCCAGTCAATGCCCCAGGTTCTCCCCAAAAAGGAATATTTTCCCGTGGAAATGGTTGTTGAGAAACTCGGCGTTCAGTCTACAGATAACAATTCCAGAGCGGTTTCACATGCATGTGTTCATCATGGAGACTCGGAAAACTCTTCGTCGATCACTCACAAACTCGCATAAAAGTGTGTCATTGCCCAGTAGGACATAGGAAGCACAAAGTCCACACAGGGTAGGACGCCTTCAGGCAAAGCGTAAAGTTAAGAAAATGGAACAGAGATAGCTCGTCTATGATGACCCTTGTTTTCATGTATATTCTACTCGCATGCTTCATCATCGCTAATGCCCCAAACGCCTGCTCCAATAAAATCGAGCTGCCCAACCCATTATTCTTGTCGCGCCCCAATAGGCGATGTATTCAATGGTCTTCAAACTATGGCCGACGAGTTCTTACTTTGGGCATCAGTGACTGCGCACTCCACAGCACTGTAAAGATCACCATGAAAAAAAGGTCTGTTAACGCCGTGAATTGTAGCCATCCGTGGATTGTCGGCTCCGCTCGAACGCTCCCAACTCCCTGGCCTCTTCGTGTCTCCTGGGACTGGGGTGGTAGCTCCTCGCGCCCGTTCCCCATCAGTGTCAGTGTCTGTAACGCACCGGTTCTCGTCTCCAAACGGCCCTTCCTTCTCTGAAAGTGTCGCCGCAACGCTGTATATGGGTCTCCAATTTCTGACAGCCTCGGGATTTTCTGCTGTCGGATAGCCAAAGCCCGCTACACCTAGAGCGCGTCGCGTCCACCGGTTATGGATATTTGCAAAATGCCACTCAACAGTATCCGGCGCGGAATAGTTATCTAGTTGGTTCCTCAAGTCGATGAGCCCTTGTACCGACGTAATGTCGACATGATTCACTGCCCCAAAATCAAGGACAATGGCACGCAGATATGGAAGAAGGTGAGAGTTTGGTTGGTGCGTCCTTCCCCCGGCGTCATTCCAAAGACGATCCGACTCTTTCTCGTAGCCTTCATCAGACAACCTTTGCGTGTTCTGCTCAATATATTTGGCTAAAATGTCAATGTGGTACGCTTGATTGGTGTAATTGAATCCCTCATGTAGCTGGTAAATGAAAACACCCGGGTAGGGAGATTCAAGTTTGATGTCTCGATTAATGGGTCCTGATCTGTCGAGGGGTATAAACGCATCCGGTGCAGCATGGTATGTTTTGTTGCAGGCAGAACGGCCTCCGCCAGACCCGTTTACTTTCCCTACTGAAATTCTTTTAACCTTTATAACTCCCAAGAATGTTCCACGCGTCCTAGCTAGCCGAACCAACACCAAAATAATTGAGAGGGCTGTGCCTGCATAAATGGATGCCTCGAGAGACACAAATATGGCCAAGGCGACTCCAACAACCCAGATTAAAAATTCAACGGGTGATAGTTGCCAATATTTGAATAAGATCCGAGGAGGCGTGAGCAAGTTGCAAACAGCATGGATAATGAGACCAGCGAGAGCAGCTTTGGGGATATAATAGAAGACTCCAGTCAAGGCATATAGTGCAAGAATAAGCACCCCGGCACTGAATAGTCCAGCCAGAGGGGTTCTGACTCCTGCCTTGGAGAGGACAGCAGAAGCACCGAAGGATCCTGTGCAGACGTAGCCACCAACAAATGGACTGAGAAGATTGGCAGCGCCAAGCGCTACGATTTCCTGGGACGGGTTCATCGTGTAGTTATACAGCCTACCCATAGCTTTCGCTATGGCAATGTGCTCAATGACCAAGATGATGGCCACGGCAGGCAATTCTGATATTACCTGCTTAACCAAATTCATTTCGATTTTCGGCACACCGGCGCGCTGAAAGCCTGTAGACAATGTTATACAAGGCAAAAATATAATGGATCTTACGATGGTCCTCACCTCGCTCTATGTGACCCACGATGCGAAATTTGGCGTTCCCTTCCTCCATACTTCGATTGGCCAAATAGCTGATTAAAGTAAAGAGAATCATAGTAAAAGTCAATCTCAATGACGATATAAATGACCACATTCGCCTCTTAGTCGGCTGCAGTTGCTCCATTCTGGTGCATATCCCTCGAATGCCGAAAAGTAGTGCGATGGAAGAGAGGCCAACCGCTGCGTCAAGTTGAGTCCGGGGAAGAAGCTTGAACGTCTGAATTATGACTCTGTACGGTGGATCTCTTGTGTTGACGCCTGGGAGGCCCAGCGCAGTAGGTATTTGGGTCGACATGATGGTGATGCTTGCCGCAGTGACAAAGGCAGATATTGGAATATATGGGATAAACTCTATCACCCAGCCCAATCGCATCAGACCCAGGAAGAGAAGAATTGCACCCGACATCATCCCTAGGCAATGGGCAATCTGCTCGTTTGTATAAACTCCAGTATTTACTGTGACTCTATTGATCACTTGCCCAACAAGCAGCGATCCTACTGCAGTTGTCTATTGTTCAAATATTAGAAGCTAAATGGGACGACGGTTCGGTTTCAATTATCTAGCGCAGTAGTGGGGGAATTTTTTTTTTAAAAAATAAAAAAAACTTACACCGATGACGATGTCTTTGGACGTCCCAAAGATCCAGTACAAGACTGCTCCCGCAAAAGAGGTGTACAAGCCGTATGGCGGCGTCAGATCCGCCAACGAAGCATACGCCAATGCTTGAGGTACAACGACCAAACCAATAGTTATTCCTGTAGGTTCAATTAACACGCGATTCAACATTTTCGGTAGCAATAATGCCAGGACTACTCATACCAGCAACCATGTCGCCTGCCAACCATCGAATATTGTATCGCTGAATCCACGACGCCGACGGGAATAGACTGGTTATATATTCGATGGCTCCTCTCCTTGAAGGGGCCAATTCCTTGAACCACTCTGCCACCGATGGTTCGTCCTCTACATAGATATCGGCAGAGTCGAGGATATCCCTAGCCTGCTCGTCCACGTCTGCTGGCATTGCAGTGTAACGTTCAGTGACATTGATGCCAAGGACCTGGTGGACGAACAAGTCCAGGATCCGTCGTAATGCCATGGCGAGGAGGATAAATCCGGTCGCCGCGGCTCGTTATTAGAGGAGGGTTGTGGTCTGAGGAATAAACCAGTGCACAATGAAGTGATTGGTGCAAAGTATATCCAAGAAAGTCGCTCGGGGACGGCGGTCGTGATTTTTAGTACCAGACGAATGCAAGGACCGACAAGGGCTACATATATTTGACCCAAGAAACGGCCACGATCTGGAAATGGTGCGGACGAGAGGGACGGTTACAATTAGCCACGACCGACATGTCGCTATGAGGTGCCAAGACGCGGCAGTCGGAGGGAAGGAGCAAGCGAACAAACAAGCTTAAACCAGAAGCCACTGGGTTGAGTGGCAACGTGCATTGTGAGGCGTGCAGCGTACAACCATCAAACCCTTCCTTCAACCGCCAGTCTTCAACCGTCAACCGGTGACGATGATAACTCGTTCCGAGCGTCCAAGCCCGGTGCCGGCATTCATGACGAATGAGAACTGTCTCGGTGTGGCATTTGAGACAACGGAGCCAACATCGGCCACTCGGTACTATGTCGCGAAACCCTCAAGTTCCCGCTGAGCCAAGGCGATAAATTGCAGCCCAATATTGAACGGAATCGGGTGGCCGTGGGCCGGCGGCGGGAGTCGTTCAAAAAATTCATCCGCAGTTAGATCTGTGCCATGGCGGATCATGTTGCGGGTGTCGGTCACAACGGATGCCGCCGATGCCCACCTCGTCGCCTCTGTCCTGCTGGTCCAAATTGCCAAGGCGGTTCTGGATGCTTATGGATGGGAGTGCGGCATGCCGACCCGGCAATAACAAGAAAACCTGCCGCAGACATTCTTCGTATCCTCCCTCGTTATCCTGGATATTTCATCATGACGCCGCTACTACGTAGGGTAGGGGTTGGAGCACAGGCGTTTGCGGCGGAACTCCTCAGTCGGACAGCGCCACTTGGCAACCAGACTCTTTCTGAGTTATCGCCTTGAGAGGTCAACTGGTATGTATTATGGTCTATGGCCAAGTTGTCCAGCGCATATCTAATAAATGCACCTCATTCCCGCTGTAGTTGATGTAAGGCGTAATGGGGCTGACTGTAGTTCGACGGACTCGTAACTAGCTTGATGAGGCCATTGTGGCAGCAACTTCTTTTTACCTAGTGCTCGGATTCAACATGCACATAAGTATTCTCAACGGTGTCAATTGGCACCCAAATATGCATATTCCATCTCTGCAACTTGCTGGGCGCATCTCAGCCGTCCAACACACAAAGGTACTAGCAACAGGCTCGGTGAAGCATCCACTCCCTCATCTATTGGTCATGACAGGGTTGAAGATATCCCGTTGAAAATTCTGGCCAGTCGCACTCGTGCCGAACATCTACTTTCATTCGTCTATGGCATATGTGATTTTGAGAAAAGTGGGTGTGCCGTTAGGTAAGAGAGACTCTAGCAGTACTTTTGTTAGCGGTTGCATCTCAAAATGCCATATACCAGACGGCACCAATAGGCAACGCATATACGAGTTATGTGGGATGGGAAGGAACGAGCTGTCACTTTGTTTTGAATATTATAAGCTTGCTCGGTTGATGTCAACATTGCTGTGCTTCCAAGGTCATAACTATCTAGGTAGTTACTACTGTTTCGACTGCAATGCGCAATTGTTAGAGACTATAGAACAGGCTCCAGGACCGCTACAGAATCCGAAACACTATTATATCAATGTCTCGCCACTTCGTCGCTCCCTGACGAGGCCATTTGATACCGGATTGCCTTGTTTGCCCCTAGCCCCGTGAAATGGAATGCTGCTCGATCTTGTTTTAAGTTAGGGTTCTTTTCCTCGAGCCCATGTTGCTACTGCACTGCATCTAGCACTTTTTGTGTGCACAAACACCCAAGAGTTGATACACTTTATGCCTTATCTACAATCTAGATACCTATCTCCCACTACCGGATGAGCCACCAGTGTACAAACACAATCTTCACTGCGACCTCCCTTAGACGCTCTTACGCTGTACCAAGCAATGTTGCCCCCACTTTCTTCTGAACTTCTCTGGTATAATCCCCAGCTCGGGAACCCATAAAGTCCTTGCCAAGATATGCGTGTTCGCAGCATCCAAGAACGGCTTACATTGGACAATCTCCCACGTGTCCTTGTCGGCTATGTAGTCCGGTTCGTTCGGAGGCAAGGGCTCAGTCCGCATAGGAAATTGGGTATCGACTAGAAACGAGCATGCCCTGATGTCGACGTACTTGCCAGGGTCCTCCTCATTTCGATCGTTGAGGCCACTCGTTGGAAGCCAGGTACCACTCCAGAAGCCGAATCCAATCTTAGCTTCAGAGAATTCACCAGGCAAAAGACCGCGGAATTCAGACCGAATAAACTTGGCATGCATATTGCGTGGTAGGAAGTAAGATGAAGGGAAGCGATACCACTCTTTTCCGAAACATACGATATCTTCTTCCCTGCCCACTGATGCTTGGCCGTGGCTAGATTGCCACAGCCTCGAGTAAATACGTAACGGTGCGGAGTATGCCGAGTAAATGCCGTAAATCCTAGCAAGGCTAACATCTAAAGCCAAAAGCATCACAGCGCTGACGGCCAAGAACTTCAGTCGAGCAGGAATCTTTCCAGCAATCGTGCTCGGGTCAGTACTTCCAACCGCGGCCAAGATGATGTGAAGAGAAATACCAGCATTGAGAGTCAAAAACGGATACACGGGATACATGAATCTCTCTTCCTTGTGAGGCTGTGCTGTGAAGATGGCTAGCCACATATAGAATGGCGCCACAAACACTACGGTACGCAGCCCGGACTGGAAGCCCTGTCCCGATGATGAAGTGACTTTTTGGAGTAAAAATAATGGCAATGCCAATAGTGCCAGGATAAACCAAATATTAAAGTTCAGTGCCAGGTTCTTGAAGTAGAATGTCCAAGGTTCGGTCCCATACAAATCGGGGCCGCCCGTTGATGAGAAGATGTTGTACTTGACAATGTTCCAGCTGACCACAGCAATCTTCTTGTAAAAGAAGAGGTTGATCAAGAAGTCAAAGAACTGCAGCACGTTAGTCTTAGGCTGCTGTATAGTACCGCATCAGAAAACTTTTTTTAACACACCAAAACTATCAACCCGGCAATCACGCCACGGAAGCACCGGACAATGGACTCAATGAAAGCATCCTTATCACTGAAAAGGACAAGGACCAACTCTTCCAAAAGGTAAGGAGCGCAGAGTGCTGAAGCAAAGGGCCAGCCAAGAATCCCTGCAGCAGAAAACCAAAAAATGCCGTGTGCAGTCTTGATGCCGCCGCGCCAGTTCATAAATGACGCCGCACCAAGCATACACATGTACATTGCAAAACTGGATGGCAAGAATGACGCACTAGCGTGAAAGTTTCCGGGGCAGATAACAGTAGCTATTAAAAAGAACATGCCGATTCTGCCGTTCATAGTCAGGCTGATGGCTTTGAACATGACAGTCTGGCAGAGGGCGCAAACAAAGGCAAGGACGTAGCGGATAAAGTAAAATTCAGACACCTAAAATAGTCAACCAAAGATAAAAGACACTTCGCATGGGTCATCAAGCTTACCTTTGACGACTGGGGCAGCAATCTACGAACGCTGCCGACTATCGAATGAAGCCCAACATAATGCCAGCTCCGGATGGCAAAGTCTGGTGAGTACTCCCAAGTCTGCAAGCCATATCCATGGGACAGATAGTGCGCTGGTTCCCAGTAATTAAACGTCTCATCACAATCCTGAATCGGAGCGGAAATAGCTGCAACCATGCCCGCGGCGAAAAAGACGTAAAATGCGGTGATGGGTTGAATTGGATAGGGGCCGTTGCGCCTATCAGAACAAGCCGAATTAGCATTTCACATGAGCCATGAACCAATACATACGAACAAAGGGGAGCAAAACATGTACAAGCAAAAATGCAACTTGAACGAACTTCTTTTTAGCATGGCTCGAGGCCGGATGCTCAAACTGCCGCTGCTGTGGCGAAGGATTGGGCGCCATGGTTACGAGCAGCAACGAGCCATGAAACCGATGGGTGTTCCAGAGAAGTGTCGTCGTCTCGTTGGGAGTTTAGTTCCTAAGCCTTTGCGGACGAGGCTGCAGGGGAGGCGGGGCGGAAAATGCACACCGAGGACCCACCAACTGACTGGTGACCTACACCTGGATTTTTTTTTTTTTCCTCTTCGCCATATCCAAGTCTGGTGATCAATTTGCAGCTTGTTGGATCCTCTTTGGCAAACCAACCATTGATTATCATTATAATTCTTTGGACATCAGTTGGCGCATTCGCATCTGTTACTGTGGGGTTTTCCGATTCTGGAAAGCCTTTGTGCGGACCGCTGCAGACCTACGTCTCGTAACAACTCTCGTCAGCGCCAATCGACTGGCTGCGAGCCTGCGACTCGTGGGACAATTGGAAGCTGGTCTTCCGGCGCATCACCACCATTAAGATGTCTGGCTTTCAAATCCCTGGCCTAGGACAAGCAAGGCCTAATGAGACGTTGCCGCCTCTCCCAGAAGATATGCTGGCAGCTGCAGCCAGTGTTGGCGCGATAGGAGCACCGCCTGCTTCATCAGAGCCAGACGGGACCTCTCAACCCAAGCAAGGCAAGAAAAAGACCGAGGAGCTCCTCCACACTGTTGACGCAACAGTCGCGCTTCAAGCGACTAAAGAACCCGACGCAATGGTCATCGACCAACTCGATAGCCCGTCATCTCTAACCGGCGCGCTCGAAGCCGCCATCGGTGGCCTAGGTAATACCGACAATGCGCCAGAGCAACCCCAACCGCGAACCAACGAAGTCGCCCTCCAAAACGACCCAAGTGAACATCCTGAATGGGAAATTGACTCTTCCCCATATGAATCGTCCTCGGGGTCAAGTAGCTCAGACTCATCAGACGAGGACTCCGACAACGAAGGTTACGAGCTCCTCGGCGTTGAAGAAACCGCACGCCTCCTCATGGAAGTAGAAGGCGGCTCCGACGATGAGGGTGATCATGGCAAAGGGTCAAGTGCAGCCCAACTGCGCACTAAGAATGAAATCGCAGAAGAAATCGTCCCCAAGCCAGACATCACCATCACCGATGAGATGAAGATCGAAGAGCTCGGCTCGATTGAACACATCGTTGACAACATCATGCTCATAAAGGCAATCACCCCAGGTGAATACCAGGTCCTCGACACAGGATCTGCCCTTTGCACCGCCGAGCGCGTCGTCATTGGCGCCGTCGCCGAAACCATCGGCAAGGTCCTGCAGCCCATGTACACGGTATACTTTTCTTCTGAGCAAGAAATCAAAGACCTGGCCTTGGAAGTCGGCACAAAAGTTTTCTATCCCGTCGATCACGCGTCGTACGTCTTCACGGAACCGCTAAAGAATATGAAGGGTTCGGACGCGAGTAATTTGCACGACGAAGAAGTTGGCGATGATGAGATGGAGTTTTCGGATGACGAGAAGGAAGCAGAGTACAAGAGGGCGCTGAAACAAAAGAAGAAGGACAAGTGGAAGAGCAAAAATGAAGAGAAATCCGGCAGCGGGGGCAAAGGACCGCATTCTTTGGGCCAGGAGGTTTCTGCTGACGGTGGATTAAACTACGATGATGACGACGGCCCATACAAACCTTTAACTAGACCTCCTGGTTTTGGCAACGGACCCGTGTCTAATGAATCGTACGAACCCGCCCCTCGACCTGGCTTCCGACGTGGTCGTGGCGGAGATGTTAGAGGCCGAGGTAGTCGAGGCAGGGGAGGAACAGGGAGAGGAGGCGGTCGGGGCGGATACGGAAACTCGTCGAGAGATGGCTATTCCCTTCCTCCCCAGGGCGGCCAGCAGTATTCTCAACAAAAACCCAGTCAGCCCGCTACACAACAAGCAGCTGCTCCGCCAGCTGTGCCCAGCTTTGGCTTTCAGTTCCCCGCTTGGCCACAATCACCAGCGGCGCCAGGACAATATCCTGTGCCGCCTCCACCCCCTCCTCCAGGTTGGCCAGCGCAGGGTCAAGGCCAGGCGGGCGCCCCGAACGCAATTATCAATCCTGCATTTGTAGCGGCGTTGATGAGCCAGATGCAGCAACAGAATGGGCAGCATGGCTGGGGGGCTCAACAGCAACCGCCATCCAACGGTGGCCAGGCTCAGTAAAAGCTTCGTATACATTGGTGGGAGGGACCCGTGATGGCTTACTTGGACGCAACAATGGGAGAAAGATATTATGCATAATTGATTGGCGTTTGGATATATTTCAAAGCCGGAGTTTGCCTCGTTATAGCATCTCCGAAAAGGGGCATGCGCAAACAAGGCGTTAGATAGGGGGTATTGCTTGTGCGCATGATCAAACCTCCAAAATAACAAGTATTATGAAACAAAGCCCAATTTCCATGAGTTTACAATTTGGCGATACTCTCGGTTCACGTAGTGTTTAGTTTCTAAGTATCCATCTCCTTCTCCGGCAGGCATCAGCGAGCACCCTATAGTTCGCTCTCACCCTCGACAGTCTTTGCAAAGTTGTGAAAGCCAAGTTCGTGTACGAAGCCAAGGGTCATGTGACCATGCTGTAGCATATGGTCGAATGAAAGATACTCTATGAGGTCAGAAGTTGTGTGAATGTTTGGGTCAGACTTGTCGAAAGACGATTCGATAACAAAGGCTGACGGATATCCAGCCTTGGAAGCTGAAGCATGATCAGAACAAGCGTAGCCACACTTGGTCTCGACCCAAGGGATAGCACAGTACTACAACATTGTCAGTTTCGAGTCATCCAGAACGGACACAAATGATTATCTGCATACCTGCTCAATGACTGTCTTGATAAACTTGGTCAGGCCAGCATGAACATAGTCGACGATGACACCAACGCTCTCCGGGAGATCTGCGTCTAAAGTGCCCTTGATGTAACCAGTCATGTCCTGCTGCAGCATGGCCTTCACGTCGCGCTGCTGCTTCTCATACTGCTGGAAAATAGCCTGACTACCGAGCAGACCTCCTTCCTCGGCACTGTACCAGTGGAACTCAATGGTATTGATAGCCTTGCCCCCCACGACATCCTTGGACTTGAGCAAAGCTCGGAAGACCTCCATGATGGTAACGGTTCCGCTACCATCATCGTCGGCTCCAGGGGCAGCGAGGATGGGGAGCCACAGGTTGATGGAGTCCTGGTGAGCACCAATGATGATAGTGCTGTTGGTCTGCCCCGGGATAGTGGCAATTACGGAATGCTGCTTCCAGGTGTGAGGGAAACTCTGGGCGGTAACAGTCTTGTCGGCGCCAGCCTCCTTGATGATTTCATTGACTTTCTTAAGCACCCAGTCGGAGGACTTCAGGCCCCAGTCGGAGTTGTAGTACCGTGTGTGAAAGCTGGACAGCTTTTCGAGGTTGGCCTTCATTGGTGCTGTATCAAGATGCTTTGCCAGACTATTGACCTCTTTCTGATTGACGCATTTCTTTGGAAATTCTACAGATTCTTTGATTCGCAGACCTTGACTGCCCAAGTCCTGGGTGGCGGTGACGTCCATGAAGCGCTGGCCATCCTTTCACGAGCAGACAACGGAGTATTAGCCATCGACCAAGGTGGTGTATCTCAGGTATGTGGTTGCGGAAGGCATGTACTTACTCGTCTAAGCTCCCACTTCTGCTCCTCCGTCACCCATTGCGTCTTACCGGGCGCGGTTTCGATCAGGAAGGCTGGCTCATCAGGGCCAAGGACGACGTTGTTGGCCTCCATGAGCTCAACGAAGCGCGCCATGGCTGCAGGCACGCATGCCGCAAGTACTGAGACTTGAGACAACCTCATATTGGGTCAGAATTTTGGTGCAGTAGACCAGGAATTCGATGACGCGCAGCTCAAGTGTCTGCGGTGTTGATCAGAGCTCTTGTGCTTGTGGGATGACAGAACAGGAGGTTGGAACTTATGTGATGAAACAGAGGCAGGCGGCTGAGCTGACGACAGCACAAGCAGATACGGAGTAATGAAAGTGCAGAAAGGAAGCACTAGCAACCTGCCTAATTTTGTGACGGCGCGAAGCGTCAACTGTCAAGGTGTCTCCACATGCATGGGGCGGTAGGGGTGCTTTGGTGACTGTCACCGATTCACCAGCTATGCTCGTTGGAGATTTTTATTAATACATCAGACTTCTAGTAGTTGGCGATAATTTACGACCTGTCTTGTGATAGTTGTTCTGTCACCAGAACCAGGGGCCACGCGCGTGGTATGTAGTACTAGGTACCCAGTATTAATCCAAGCACTTCATGTACATACTCCTCGACTCTTTGCTCCGTACATGAAGGGATGTATGTACTCCGTACCTTCCTCGGCATCTGCGGGTTGTTGGGTTGCTGGGTGCAGATGCTGGTCGGACACTAGTCCTAGTGGTGGGGAATTTGGGGCCAATGGTGAGATATCAGGTCTGCATGCGACTTAGGGACTGAGTATATCCATCCGCCACCAGCATGGACGTGACTACCTGGTATCTGCTGGTGTTTTAACATCGGTGAACTTGAGTAGACAAATAAACAAACGAACAAGCATGCTAAAATTGCGCGAATTAGGCCACATGACATCAACTTGACAATGCTAGTCTTAATGTATTATGGGGTGTCTCGCAATGATGAATCACGGATTTTGCTGATTGGGGGCAGGGAAATTCTTCAACCTTAATATGTGGGTGACTATGAGAACAAAACTTCTCACATAACAGTCATGTAACAATTCCCTACGTACAGGTTTCCAGATCCTCACTCGGAATATTTGTACGCCGTAATATCTCGGGACCCGATGGCTCTCATTATAACTAGTCTAGGGCTTTTCATTCTGTTGCTTCACCCCCTCATGACCGCCTGCTGGATGCTTGACAGTAGTTATGGAAACGGGGTATACCAATTCACATACAATAAACTAGGAGCTGGAGAGGAAATGATTCCAAATATCACCCAATACAAAATCGACAACGACGTGGCACCGACGCCTGCTAAGAATGCAAGCAGATTTCCAAAGAACCTGACACACCGGAGATGCTTCGCTGGCAATAATAGCATGGATCTCGAGGACCTCAACCGTGCCAAGAGGGGTTTGATGAACTGGTGCGAGCGGTATAGCCCAATGACGAAGTCAATTGTTATCTCTGTTTTCGAGAATGCGACGGTATATGCGGGCTTCTCAAACTTGGCCCAACAAAGTTTGCAATCCTCACGGCCGGCATACTGTTCAGCCTTGGACATTGAGTATGTCTGGAATTACATGAATGCAAAGTGCGGACCGACCGACAGTGCATCCACGTACACCTGGCTTCTCGAGAAATATTACGGGCGGGCGAGAAGGGGAAATAATATTTGGATCTAGACTGGAATTCAGAGGTATGCATTGTGCAGTGCCAATGAGCCCATGCCGGCTTTCGACGTAATCTACAGTCAGTTCTGTGCGCCGTTGGGTAGGAGCCTGGCTCATCATTCATTCGATAGATCATAAGCTACCGAAAGGGCCAAACGGCTATTATTTCTTTAAAAACGTTTAATTTAATTTTTAATTGTAACTTCAATCCCCCCCCCCTCCATGTTGCCATGCTCCTCCTAGGAGCAGCGGGTGTCCTCATGTGGCTTTGCCATCAGTCAAACGACCGCAAATACGCACAGAGGGTGATTGGATGATCTTGCTAGCCGTGTGCTATTGTGCTTGCCCATAGATGGCATTGTAAGCCGGTGTTATGTTCATCGTAGAGCTGATATCATAGACGAACTTGGATCGATCACGGCTCTCACTACTGCTTGGTGTCGCAGTCCTATATAGCCGCAATGCCAAATAGAGAGACAGATTCGATCTCCATGGCACACCCATAATTTCTGAGAAGACCTGCTGGTTTAGTGCCTCGCCATGCCTTGCTCGGTTATTGCTCAATTGCCACCTTTCGAGCGCATGCCCAGTCATCCCCTGGGCGCGGCACAAGTCTGTCCGTCCACGGCTCAATAATCAGCCACAACGACAGGCAATCACCAACACAGTCTCCAACAGCTCGAGGAACTTCAAGCCCTGTGTCTCATAATCCCATATCATCATCGCTGGCCTCTCCATCACCCCGTCGCTGCTCTTCTTCCTCTCGCCTCATGGCCTCAGCACTTGCCCCGATCGTCCTCACGCCCTCCACCACGCCCGTAACAAATCCCCTGCTCTCGGCCAATTCCATGGCCCCCACGCCCCTCAAGCTCATCACTCCATCAACACCACTCTCTAGCTGCGCCGTACTGCTTCTCATCTTGGCCGCCCGAACCTCCTGCAGATCCCTCAACAACGACCGCACCTCCGACGCTGAAGCAATATCATCAACTGCCTGGGCAAGCAGCATCTCTGCCAACTCAAACCAGTGATAGGGCAAAGCCCCAGAGGGTGCGTCGGCCGTACAAGACGGTAGAAACGGCGGGGAGAGAATAGTCTCCTCGCCGGAGAAGGAGTTTATGCGTGTAGCGTTTCCCATAAAATCAGCGCGTGAGCGCGGCGGAGGCGGCGGAGCCCATCCTTTGGTGTCGACTTTGGTTTCGTGGTGGATGACGTCGCGAAGAGAGTCGGGATGCATCCATGGCGGCGGCACGATGTTGGCGCGGCGTTGTTTTTTAAGCAGCAGCGCGAGCCAGAGTGGGAGATTGCTTCTTCTTGGTGGACGCAGCTGAGGCGTTTGGCCCTGAGTTTCTGCATTAGTTCGTAACCGTGGAACAATATTGAAAATTGGCTCGCCAGGGTCGATGCGCCGGCGCATGCGACCCGCGATGGCGACGCGACGGCGAAGCTGGACATACTGCGAGGAGATGGATGCTCTCTAATCGCTGTCTCGGAACAACAGTCACGAGCTCCATTTCACATAGAAAGGCTACCTCTGAGGGAACCAGTCCCGGGGGCAGACGCAAGGCCATGGTTGACGGGACTGCCACCGTCAGGCGTGTGCGGTCGCGTAGAGTGATGCGAGAACTCTGGAGTTCACATGTGCAGATTGATCGATGATTAGACTCCACTATGACCACCTTGGCAATGCTCCTCTCAACTCCACTCTCCTCCGACTCCCCGTCCCGACGGGCGTGTATTCAGGATCCTCTTATTACGGAAGCACCAGACCGCCGCCAGCCTTATTCCAGCCTGCACGCAACCGTTGGATTCCAGAATACGCTTCAGTTGCACGATCCAGCCATGCCCAAAAAAAAAACAAATTACCAATGACGTGACTCACTCTGACTTCATGTGCCCCGGCCTTGAACGAATACGGCAAAGGGTGTGCATTTGCATTGCCTGAACATCCTGAGCATCCCAGCATCGGAGTCGGGAGACATCTTGGAGCTATAAGAATGTAGGAAGCTCTGTGACAGGCTTAGCCACGAACAGGCGTTACACACGGAAGGCTGCAATGGAGATTATCCACCGGCCCAGTTTCTTGGGATTCGGGACGCACCGAGAAAACTGGAAACAAACCCATCTGGGAAGCTCCGCAATGCAGTCTTACTAGCCACAGAAACGTAATTTAAATATTCGTCAAAACACGGTACAATTCTCAGGGGCTGTCCATGGCAATAAGTCGTGTGACCGGTTTGGGGAATTCACAAGGCAGCATCAGCTCCCAGGTTGCGGAAACAATCATCAGGTCTTCTTAGGATCAATACGATTATGGGGAAGTGCTTCCAGCAATAAATAATGCTCATCTGAATCAATAACACTTTGAACCATTCTCCGTCTTTTGATCCTTCTAAAGCTCCCGATGAATCCGGGGCCAGCCCAATAGGGAGCCTGTTTTCCTCCCCCCCAAAATAAAACATACGTCGGTGTCTATAACGACGAGACGAAAGTCACGTCACGCTTGCGAGAGAGGATAACTGAAAAAGTAGAGAGTAGTGGCCCGCATTCAGGGACACAGAGGCAAAATCCCCATCATACCATAAGTGTATCCAATATGCTGCCGCCCTCGTCGCCCTCGCGCTGATTAGCTTCATCGAGCCCAGACCCACGGGCTTGTTGCGCAAGAAATTGTAAAACATTTCGAAGCTCCTTGCGAAATCCTTCGACGCCGTTGTATTCAGGGTCAATTTCCTCTAAAATTCTTTGGCCGCTTTGCAGGTGCGCTTGTGCAGCCTCCTGATCTCCATTTATTGTCTCGAAGATTACAAAGAACATACAGCATATGACTGCTTCACGGAGGTCTATATATCCTGTCGTCGCCTGTCTAGCTTCTTGTAGTGCAATCCCATAGCAAGATAAGGCCTCTCCGTAGTGGTCCCTTCCGGCGACCTTTCCAACGCGTGCCAGAGTATGGCCCTTGGAAAATAGGAGGGCATGGACTGCCATGTTGGCATGGCGAATAGCGGGGTTGTCATGAGCGAGTCTAGGAAGATTCCAGGTCCAGAATGTGTTGTCAAGAGATAAACGGCTACCTGGGACAATGGAACAGTTCGCTGTAGGCTGTGGTGGGCAACTCAGACATCCGTAGGAGCTGACTTGGGAATCGATTGATTCTGGAGGGGAGAGATCCTCAGGGTGTCGAAATTGATAGCCGGAATCATACATAGTGAGATCTATCTCTTCGGGGGATGATGTGCCGTCAATTTCGGGACTCTGCGGCGTTACAAATGCCGGCTTGACGGACGACTTGGATTGATTGAGGATAGGCTCGTAGCCACCACAAAACCCAGCCCATTTAATACAATTTTTGCAAGCCGGCTTTGTTTCATCGCATTTCACATGTCGTCTCCTGTTGTGTTTATCAGTATATGTACTAGCGGGTAGGTATACGAGTACGCCATTCTTACTTGCCTACAGTGCACGTTAGTCTTTAGCAGTTTTACTAATGATAGAATGCCGAATAAAGAGAGACAAAATTGTTACACATTAATGCAAACGCTCAAGACTTACAAGTGACACATCCAGTGCGTACTTTAGCGAACTTGGCACGCGTCGCGCGCTTTCGCTTGGTGATGGGAAAGCTCGTCATCAAGGTTTCTTTATTTGTACTTCTAGCAAAGGGCAGTGGTTAGAAAATATGGTTTAAGGACAGAATGATGAACTTTTTCCGGGAAGCAGCGTTTGGCTCACTGGTCGAGTTGTTGCTTATCTGATACTGGAGAATCGTCAGGCATCCCGATAGACGATCAGAGCCGGTACCGAATAATCAATGGGGAATACGAGTATAAATCAACACGAGAAGCCAAGAAAGGAGAAAAAATTCGACGGGCGTACTTGCTCCGAGGAGAATTACAGAGTAGGCATAATGCTAAAAACTGAGGGCATGGAGTAGACGCCATGCCGAGACGTCTTTTTTTTAAACCTTTCCAGCGCAAGTTGCCACGCAACAGATGAAACCCGATTCCCGTCACATCTTAGGCAATTGGGCCAGGATACGCAGAATCTCGGGGGCTGAGCCAGCCACGAGAAAACCATTGTAACCTTACAGTCGGGACACTTTCAGATGGGGGTGGGCTGATTGAGTTTGTACATCACTTACTCAGGCAGGGGAAGAGGAGGGCCACCATTCCATAATGGACGCGATGGGGCAGGTTCACCGATGAGAACTAGTGTCTCTATGCACCGTCTGTACATGCCATTGGCGGTTCGAGGCTAAAGAGATAGGCATGGGATGAATCTTCGGCGACCAAAGGAAGAAGCTATTGGCCACGAGTGGCAGTGACCAGCAACAGGACCGCCACGTCTTGGGCCACTCATGGTAGTTGGGCGATGTCTCTCGTCTCCCTGCCCACCCCCCTGGGATATGCAGGACTCTCATATCAGCCCTATAGGGTGGATCCTCCCACAGGAGATATGGGGAAGTGGTGGAAAGCCAGAGGACAGCCAGCATCAAGTGGGTGCTGACAGGTTGTCATACTGTCCTGTCAACATGAGGCCTGGATTCGACCTGGGCGGAATATTGCCCCAGGTTTTCATATAGCGATTGAGCCAGGCCGCACCCAAGTTCAATGTCTCTGTCGGTCTCTGTCCTGTTGGATGGCTCATGCCACTAATAATGGGGGCGGCTCGATCTGATAGGTCTCCCAAAAGGAAGGATATGACCCTGGTGACAGGGCGTTGATATGTGCCGACGGGGTCCAATTTGAGCCGCGCCGGCGAGCTGACGACTCTCTGACGATAAGTATCGATACAGGTAGCGATCAGTGTTTTCCAACGATTCCAGCCTGCATGATGCAGGGAATTGTTGAGTAAGATGACGACAGAATCTCGACTTTGCATTCAAGCAGTTACAGACAGCACACACAGCTCGCACCATTGCGGCCTGTCAGCAGCCTATATGCATTATCTTCTTGCCTGAATAACTTGTCCCAGATTCGGTCAAGCAAACCCATGAAGTCGTAAACCGTACGCCGTAAGAAACACTGGGCAAGGACTTCAAAGCCGCAGCCGTTTGAATTGGGGTTAATTTGCCCGTGCATCTTGCTGTTCCAGCTATTGAAACTTTGACAACATTGAAACGGCACTGAGGCTTCCAGGGTCTAGAGCAACCTGAGGTTCAGCGGGGCAACAGGCTAGAGCCGACCTGGGGTTAGCGACCGTGGTCCTGAAGCCTGTATGTGCACATGTGGTAACATTGACACCTGTCAATACTTACCATTGCCTTGGGTCCGGTAGGTAGGTAGATAGGTACTTTGGTCAACCGGTAATGGGCGGTTCTCGATCTAAACTTGCGCTGATCCGGCTCACAGTAGTGTGTGCGTGTACTCCGTGACCTCGATGCAGATGCCGACGTTTAGCCTATGAGTTCCTGAAAGGTGCAGAGAAGTGGGTCTCGAGCCAACAGTCCAGGACTCATCCTCCATCATGCCTCGGGAAGTCGGCTGCTCAACCATGCGTCGCCACCGGTGCCGTAGTCATACCACTAGCACCACGTTTTGGCACCCATCACACTCTCATCTAGCAGTTACCTGCAACCCATCGGCAACAGCATGGTCATCTCAGAGTCACCAGAGACAGGCCTTGACCAACTACACCGTCCAGACTATCAGTGCCAGTGCCAACGCCAGCAATTGGAGGTGGGCGGCGTGCCAACTCCTGGGGTTAAGGTCCACGTGGACTGGTGTAATTGCAGCATTCATTGTCAAAGCTCGCTGTAGTTGGAAAATTGTCGACTGAAAAAGCCACGCGGCCCAGGCCATTCACAAGCAATGTCAGACCAGCATAAGCCGCCACTGGGTATGCCCACTGCAATTGACAACTCCTCCTGGCTTGAGAGGTGCCCTATAAACCGTTCAATTCGTACCACGCATGGAGGCTCACCTACAGCAATCCCGCCAACTCTCCGCCATACGCTTTACATGGATCATCCTTTCGTCGTCGTAGTTTGAAGCAACGACATGTTCGGCACCCGGAAATCAAAAAGGTGGATCTCTGATGCCGAGCCTTAATTTCGGACCTAGTCAACCGAACCTTCACACCAACCGGGAAATTTAGAACAAACTTTTTGTTCCGGAGTACGAGACACACCCTCCGGAAGGCTGGCAGACTTGACAAGCCATCCCCAAGAATAGACTCGAATCCGGCTCTCGGGCATTCAGAAACTGCCCGGACTAAGGTGGAGCGGCATCTCCCGGCTTGACCCTCGCTCACAAAACCTGAAGACACGGGTTTATCCACTTTCACCACCGGCTTCATGGTCGCATTCAAGACACAAGAAAACAAAACGTTGCAGGGGATATCTACGGCCATCTGTGAAACCAAAGTGAGGCTAATTCGCATGGTGGCTTGATGCTACATCTGTCCGACCACGGTGACATTGTCGGCAGGGCACAGTGAACCGAACCGATGCGGCCGAGTTGGTGCAGGCCTGTCGCATTCATCGAGTTGCTTCTAGATGTAACATACATAAGAATCCCGACTTTTCCAACACGCATATCCGAGGCACGAGAACACTCCCATTTGCGTATTTTTCTGCGACATGTTTCAATGCATGTGCATGCATGCTGTGAAACTTACGGAGTATATATGACTGTATACAGCAGTTTGCGCAGATTGCTGAGCGCTAACTACAGGCTGACGAGCATCGGACCGCTATTCCGCCTCTCGTGATCTCCCCCGTTCATGAATCCAGGCCGAAGTATGCAAGCAATGGCATGGAGTTTCTGTGTGTGAAGGCCCGGACGGGTTTCTCGTGCAAGTATATTGTTACTTCGCAGGGTCTCTGACTTTACGACCCCCACTTCACTCGTTCAGCCATATTTTGAGCATGAGGCGTCGAACAGTCTCGAGGTGGGTTGGCACGTAAGCATAAAGTGGAAAATGCTGCTTCCGTCAAGTAATTTCCAAGGCGAGATTGAAGGCCCGCATCAGCAAGCCTGTATTCAAGAGTCTCTCGACCCGATGCTTCTCGGTGACCGCTCTCAAAGATAACACGAGTTTTAAGTATTGTCGCAAAGTTGTTTTACAAAACTACTTGGCGAACGATATCGCCAGCACATCAATCCAACCTGTAATTCTTACCTCAGAGGGCCTAGAGACTAAACATGTCATATCTGACGCTCTAAACGATGAAACCCCTGCCTTTGGAATTAAAATATATGAGCACGACTTTGCGCTCCCTTGTGTTATCACTCGCAAGGCTTCTCACTCTTTATAAATTGTTGCAGGACTTGGCCTTGAGGAGTTTACGTTTATAATCTTTAATTGGTGATCCAAATCCTATCACGTTCTGGCTTGGGGTGTGAAGATGGGATCAGAGCGCTGTGGTGGCTAGATTTTTGTCTATGGCAAGTCCCTGCATGAGCTGATGTTTTTAGCCCGGTTATTCGATATCTTCTGTGGCAATCATGGCCACGATTCGTTTTCTCAACCCTTATTCCATCCTTTTCTCGTGTGTTGTGTTACTGCGCCTCCTCAATGATGACTTGGAACTTGCATGGCGTGCCTGGTGTGGGTTTCTTCGGTAGGCAACAACATCCACAAGGCACATCTCAAGCCGGCGGGCCAAATCCAGGTTCAAGGGAAAATCGGGGGCAATCGGCCCGCGACACATTCTCGTGGCTTGTTTGATTCTCGGCAGAAGTAATCCCGCGAGGTGCGGGTTGTAGTTTGTGGTGGGTAAAGTTTGCCGGCGAGAGCTTACAAGTCACGCACCGAGTCGGATGCACTGCCTTGGACAAGAATAACCAGAGGCATCCATTAACGGCTTAGGGCCTCCGCCCAGCTCCGCCCAGCGCCGGCGTCGGGGTAGTGACTTCCGCGTTCACATGCTTGGTGCTCCTTCCTCCTTTGATGCGCCCCCAAGCCAGATGCCCTCCCTGCTTGTCCGTGTCTTGCAGGCAGTTTTCTTTTCTCTTTTCTTTTCCTTCTCCAGTTGTTGATAACTGGCTACCTAGGTCAATAGTTGTTGCGCTTCAGACTTCCTCAACCGCAGCAAGATTCTTGGCCCCGCAACTCCAGCCAACCGCCATCTACGCCAGCGGCTCGTCCCAAAACCGTCTGGACTAGTCACGTTCCCAGATCTAACTTTGCAGCTGAGCACCCTACATTTGAATGGGCCATATTGTCACAACCCCGTCTCAGTGTTGATAACTGGCCAATCTATACGTCGCCGACTCGGCAGCTAGGCTGCTTCCATCGAGCCATGCCCATTGCTATACACATCGTTGTAGATATTCAATTCGCCTGCTCACGTCGCTACTAATTACCGAAGCACCGGACTCGACGAGTACTCTGTCGTGAAGCACTTTTGGAGTGCAAATGGCGAGAATCTCTTTGCTTTGAGTTCAGACTTGTCTAAATGTGGAGGATACTTTGCGCCAGATACTGGTTTCAGCCGCCACCTTGTTTTAACGTCTTGTCGCCAGCTACTAGGAATGATTGATTTGCTATTACTTTCTATCCCACCGCCCTCTGGTGGTACTGGAGAGGTCTCAAGCCTCTACTGTTCGTGGCGCTGACACTCGAGGTCGAAAAGGGAAGCTTACGAAGAGGAGCTGAACGGAGCTTTCCGCAGGGCAACTTGGTACGATGAGCGAAAATAGCGAGTTGTAAACTGCCTGGCTCGTTCAGTCTGACCAGTCCAGCAGTATGGAATCAACAATATGGCAGCCATGTAACTGGTGTAATTCTGATGCTGCCATCGTATTCGTCCATTTTCTTCTTTTTGCGAACAAGATAGGCTGACGGCTGCATTGGTTTCATCAAGAATATGCCGTCTTCAACCTATCCTTGGCGTCCCTATTGGTATCTTCTCATCGTACGTCAGCTTTTGGGACGCGAGATTCATGCGCTCTGTACCAACCGCCGTGACTGTATGGCTTCAAACTCAAATTGAACATAGAGGCGGTAACCAAATATATATTCCCTCTGCAGGCATTCTCCACACTGCTTCTCAGATCGACAAACTTGTCTCCCATTGACTTGTACCCACTTGAGCCTGAGAATACCAATACGAACTCTTTCAAACCACAGAGATGCCCATTCCCGGTGTTGATCTCCCACTGCGGCCGCCCGATGCCCCGGCAATTCCTAAACCAGATGAAATTCTGAAACATCCATCCCTTAGTGCACGCAAAAGGGAGCTTCAAATTGGTATCAAGGATATACCCTTTGTCGACATAGATCCTGGTGTCTTCAATACCGAGCTCGTAAAGTGGAAGCTGTATGCCAAGCCAAACCCAGAGCACCTGGAAAAACCCCCAGTTCTAGGTGGAGGAAACATCACAAAAGGGACATACTCTGGAACCCAGGCTGCATTGACTCATGCTTACAGTCGAATTGAGCGAAGGTGAGACTTGGTTGCTCAGAACTAGATGCAATCACGCGCGTTAATACGGTCTAGCTACGAATCCTACTTCGATGTCATGCAAATTGAATCGACGCTGCCCCGATACACAGATCTTTCGACAAAAAGGGACATTTTCCAATATTCGACCTACCCGAAGAACGCCGACGGTACTGTTGCACAGTATCCTCCCCACCTTCAGCACATTCCAAAGGATGATCAAGTCCCGTTGTTGAAGATTTTCAATGCTCTGGGTCTTGCAGAGACTGAAATTCTAATCAAGCAAGTCGTTCCCGATAGTTTTCTGGGAAGAACCGCTACATGGCTTCTTGATCTGGTAAATGGAAACGTTAGCGATGCAGCGAATCAAGGATCTAGTATCAAAGCCTTCGAAACATACAACAAGCTCCACCGCAAGTCTGGGACAGATATCGAGCAGGGAGCCAACTTGGGTCTCTTACCGGACTGGTATGGCGATCGCCGCTTTGCGGACCAGTCATTTACAGGGACTAACCCTACTACGATCGAGAAGATCCCCAAGGACTTGTTGAATGAGTTTATCGTGGAGGCAGAGCGAGGCGGATATGACGACTGGGCGAAAACCCTTGGTGCGGCCGACCCAAGCTCACTCTTCGTCCAAGACTGCCGCTATTTTCGAAATGCCTTTGGTGCTCAGCCTAATGAAGAGCTACACCACAAAGAGCCCTCATCAGATGACAGCTGGGCATGTGCGGCCGTGACGCTGTTTCAGCTGCATCCGAATGGTCAACTACACCCCGTCGCCATTGTCTGCGACTACAGGAGCGAAATGGCAAGCTCGATTGTCATTTTTAACCAAAGAAAACTCCCCTCGGACCCAACCGACCATCAGGAAAGCGACTGGCCGTGGCGATATGCCAAGACGTGTGCTCAAGTCTCCGACTGGATTCGTCACGAAATCGGCGTCCATTTGACCCGCGCGCACATGATTGAGGAATCACTGATTGTGGCTACACACCGCACCATTCCCATGGATCACATTGTGTATAAGCTACTCGAGCCGCACTGGTACAAGACGCTCTCCCTCAACGCCGCTGCTAGATCTACACTTGTGCCTCAAATCGTCAAGGACCTGGTGGGCCTGAAGCCCGACTACTTGTATCAGTTCATCCGGTATGAGTTTGAAAACTTTGACTTTGTGCAGAGCTACATTCCCAATGATTTGAAACGACGAGGGTTTCCCAACACGACACAGGGCCTGTCCGACAATAAGTACAAGAACTACGCCTATGCCAAGAACATGGTTTCCATGTGGTCCTGCATTCGTGAATACGTCATGACGATGCTCCTAACCTACTACAAGGATGACAAGATGGTGCAGCAAGATCAATACATCATGGACTGGTCCAAGGAGGTACAGACGGACGGGTTTATCAGGACTTTCCCAACCATTGGGACCCTGGACCAGCTGTGTGATGCCATCACCATGAGCATTCATATTGCAGCGCCGTTCCACACCGCAGTCAATTATCTCCAAAACTTTTACCAAGCCTTTGTTCTCGCCAAACCGCCCTGTCTGTGCAGCAAAATGCCTGAAAACATCAAAGATCTCAACAAGTATACTGAGAAAGACCTCGTCGACGCGCTCCCCATCGGTCGGCAAAGGCAATGGCTGCTGTCAGTTCAGATTCCCTGGCTGCTTAGCTTCAAGGTGCCTAGTGACCGTAGTCTTATCATGTTCGCGCAATCCCAATGGAGGGCGCATTATGGCAATGACAAAGCCGACGAAGAAATCAGAGCCATTAGTGAGCGGTTCTACAATGAGCTCAAGAAATTGGAAGTTGAGTTTCTTGCCACTAGCCAAGCTATGGATGGCGGAAGCATTCCTTATATGGTCATGGATCCAACCAATACCGCGGTGTCTATTTTGATCTAAGCATCCCAATTATTGAACTTTGAAACAATTCTTCTCTCTCTGTTGTTTCCTAGTCTTGTATGCGTAGGTGACTAGCTGGTTTTTAATATAATGGCGTTCGCTCAGATCACCTTGGTGTAAGTGTTGTGCCGACGACACCCAATTTCAGTAGCTTATTACTTTGTACCGAATTACACAACAGAACTACCGACCTGCTCAAGGGTTGTGGTTCGTTCGTCTTTATCTGTAAAGTGGGTGGCTATTCTCATTCTCAGAGCGGTATGCCCAAGTCCCAGCCCTGGACACGGTGAAAAAAACCCACGATGTCGGTAAACAAGGAATGATGAATCGAAATCAGTCCCATTTTTCAGAATAAACTCTCTGCCGAGGAGTGAGCACTGAGGAGTACTCTTGAGTTATTCAGATCAATTTCGCGTCAAGTCACCCAGTTTCAGTGTTGCGACCTAAGCGAGAGAGGTTTCCATCTTCCTGCAAGCGCCAATATAATCGACCCCGATCTTCATTCCAGTTGGTGTACCTTGGTTTCAATCGTTGACACTTGGTATTTAAAATGGGGGCCTTTGAGTCTCGAAAGTCGATGGTGTGCTGGAGGTTTCCAGCACAGAGACTGCTCAGGTTACATTCCAAAAGCTGGCGACACAAGTTCCAAGCTGTGAGTGCCTGTGATGGGTATCTCTCAGCGTTTACGTCTGCCAGCGTCTCAATCGTCTGTGCTTGCTGACAATCTCTTGCGAGGGATGCGTCAACCTCTTGATAGTTGTAAACCTGCGAGCCCAGGTCGGCGACTACACGATCCCGCAGCGCAAAAAAGAGCTAATACAGCTGGTTCGTCTGCCAATTCTTCCCAGATAGGCGAGTCAGGACGTCAATAACGAGCCCACCAAACGCCACAAAAGCAACAATCTTGTCATACACGGCCCCGTCTCCGCACTCTCGGTTGGCTCTTAGCATCTTTGCGCTGCCGCCTCAATCTGGACATGGTTTCGGTCTCCCATGTATGGAAGACAAAAGCGAATACAGGAGCTCATCGCGACATATATTTATACCACAGGATTGCATTACATCGACGGTGTTGTTTAAAATTCAGTGCCAATTTTGCGTCACGTAAATATCCTGCAGCGTATTCCCCAACCATTTACATACTTGGCTTTCAGCTTGGCTACTGCCGCATCGCCTCATTTGATGACGCTAAACTTTGCCATCAACTGAACTAATAAAGTTCCGAGAGCACCCCCTCACCTTTGCCATTAAAGCCAAGGCTTTTTTACTCTACCTACCTAGGAAGGTATTGAATCAAGGAAGAGCCGAGTGCTCCGATAAGGCTAGCTGGACTAGAAAAGACTAGTCACGCATGGATTCGAGAAATAAGAGAGAGAAAACAAAATACAGTCGGCCAATGCCATTCGACTGACGTTCTTGGACTTCTTTCCAGGAGCTAATATGCTATATTTTCCTATTCTGGTAGCAGTCATCTGGCTCAAGAAGGCGAGTCGATAGAGATAACAGAGGCAAAGAAGCTCAAGCTTGGAAGTACCACATCAAGGCTCATGGATGACATCCTTCAACCACCTGTCCCACGAAGTGAACAACACTCTATATCATGCACAACCATCTACCATCGCCAGAGGGACTTGTAACATCATTATCAGATTCGATGTCCGGACCTTCCCAAATCCCATCCCCACATCCCTCTTAGTAGGCTCTTACCCCCACCGTCTGTTCATCGAGCAGTTAGTTGGTCAAAGTCAACCTCTTCACGTTGCCCATTTGCGTTCCCATCACGGCATCCCATCATCAAGCTCTACATCCACACAGCTCCAGCCATGTCTCTGCCCAGCGCCACTTCAAAGTCGCTCACACTCGCCAAAGCCACCAAACATGAGAGAGTCTACGTCTGGACTCGCCACCAGCCGGTCTGGGGCCGCAGACTAACGGCCCAAGCCTACGTCGACAGAGAAGAGCATCTCCTCACCTGCCAACTGACCAAAGACGGCGGTCTCACCTCCTGGATTCTCACAGATCCCACCAGCACCGACGCCCACGGCGCCCCGAGCGGCCGTCCCATCCTCTCCGCCGCGGAAACATACCGCAAGCGAGCCATCGTTCGCGACCCAGGCGGCACCGTCCGGGACGTGACTGCCTACGGCATCGCCAGCGTCTTCACCCTCGACGAGTTTCGCCGCCAGGGCTACGCCGGCCGAATGTTCGCCCTGCTCGGCGAGACCCTCGCCGGGTGGCAGGCCGGGAAGCCCGGCAGCGCCGAGTTCTCCATCCTCTTCTCGGACATCGGCAAGGACTTTTACGCCAATCACCAGTGGATGCCGTTTCGAAGCGTACACATGACGTTTCCCACCACGCCGTTTACCACCCGGTACGACGACCAGCTCACCCTCATAACAGGGGACAATTTGCAGGCAATTGCCCGGCTAGACGAGCAGACTCTCCGCAGGAAGATTGCCGATCCTCCCAGCCGAGGATATAAAAGGAGGGTAGCGATCCTGCCTGATTTTGCCACATACGAGTGGCATGTAGCCAGGGAGAGGTTCATGTGCGACTACATGCTGGGCAAGGCGCCGACCGTTCATGGAGCCATTTACACGCCCGCGGATGCGCCCGATTCCCGAGTCTGGATGCTGTGGTCCAACATCCTGTATGGGGGCAAGGAAAAGCCGCAAGATAATGTCATGAATATTCTCCATTATGCCTGGGAGAACGAGAATATGTCGGATGAGGACTTGTCAAGGGCATTGGGTGCCATCATGGGTCTTGTTCATACCAAAGCCCAGGACTGGCTTTGCTCCAGGGTGGACATGTGGAATCCGGATGAGCGGACGCAAAGACTGCTGGAAAATATGACTCGCCTTCAGGGCAAGCTGATTGTTCGGGAAAAAACAAACATTCCAAGCCTCAGATGGTTCGGTCAAGGTCCAGTGTCGGAGGTCGAGTGGGTTGACAATGAGAAGTTTGAGTGGTGTTAATAGCCCTAGAAATTCTGGCACAGACAAGGATAGACGGATCTAGAGACAACACGAATATCATCATCGTCATTTCATCCATCTATTCTACCCCATGGTGAATATCCCCTGCCAAAATCATTGAAAATCAGTAGACGTCCACTTTTCCTCTTGTCCCTCAAATGCCAGGACTCCTTTGACTACATGCTACTCCGAGCGCCGAAATCATCTTCTTTGTTAAATTCTCTAGTAGCTCCTGCCAAACATGACCCATTGCTGTGCTTTGCCAGAGCATTCGGGATTCAAGCAGGCAGTTTCACCAGGGACAAGCTCGGTCCCTTGGGGCTGCTCAAAGGGAATGCAAAGACTCTTCATGCCCATGGAAGGGACCTTTTGATTCTCAGGGACATCTCGGTTGTCATCAGCGCGGGTGGTGAGTTCCTTGATGCGGTCCTCACACTTGCCATCCAGACAGAAAGGAATAAGGACAACGTTCTTTTCATCAAGGGCGGGAAGCACGTCTTCCCACTTGGTGATCTTCTTGCGGTGCTCGGCGAAGGAGGCCTCCGCTTTCTTGTACATGTCCGCTTGGATAGTTTCCAAGAGCTCAGGGATCTTAGTCGCAATGTCGGCGATAGGGATGGTGCCTTTCTCGCCAGTGTCACGCCGGGCAAAGGAGACGACTTCCTTGGCGGCATCCTTGGGTCCGAACTCCAATCGCACTGGGACACCCTTCATCTCCCAGTCGTTGAACTTCCAGGCTGGTGTGTAGCCCTCTCTCCAATCTGACTGCGTGCGAACACCAGCCTTTTTCAGTGTTGCACGCATATCCTCAATCTGATCTTCATGCTTCTGTCTGTCCTCAGGAGTGGTATTCTTGTTTATACCAACAGGGATAAAAATAACTTGGGTCTGGGCGACACGAGGAGGAAGAACAAGACCCTTGTCATCACCATGCACCATGACCATTACACCAATGACTCGGGTGGACAGGCCCCAAGAGTTTTGCCACACGTGAACGTGCTGACCCTTGTTCTGAGGGTCTTCAACTGTGATTTGGAACATTTTGCTGAAGTTCTGTCCCAAACAATGGGACGTAGCTCCCTGAATACCTCTACCATTGGAAGGAATGTATCCCTCGACGGTTGTAGTATAGTATCCTCCAGCAAACTTCTCGTTCTCAGTCTTCTTGCCGCGAACTACAGGTACGGCTAGAAGCTTCTCGTACACACCTGCGTACAGCTCCAAAATTTCCAGTACTTCTTCCCCTGCCAATTCTTCAGTCAGATGGGCAGTGTGACCTTCTTGCCATAAGAATTCTCGAGTTCGGAGGAACGGGGTGGTCTGCTTAGCTTCCCAGCGCACGACGGAGTTCCACTGGTTCAGTCGGAGGGGAAGGTCTCGGTGGCTGCGGATCCATTTTGCGTAGTAAGGATACATGACAGCCTCGGAAGTTGGACGAATGGCGACAGGAACATCGAGCTTTTTGTCACCACTATATGTTCGTTAGCAACTGCAAAACACGTCTCTAGTTAGTAGCAAGTTCAATCCAATACGTACGCTCTCTCAACCCAAGCAAGCTCAGGCGCAAAGCCATCGACGTGGTCTTTCTCCTTGTCGAGCGACGTCTTGGAAAGGAAGAGAGGAAAGCTAGCTTCTTCCACACCAAGTTCTTCGATATGGCCCGAGAACCATTTGCGGATAGTGCTCCAGATGTGCATAGACAAAGGACGCAGAACAAAAAAGCCTGAAATTTCTTGGTAGTATTCGACCATTTCGGCCTTAAGGACTACCTCTTGATACCATGCCGAGAAGTTCTCAGCCTTGGAATTAGTAATTCCAATAATGTCGTCCGTCTTCTTGCCTCCAACAACGGGAAGAGAGGCTTTTTTTGCAGCCTTTGCAGCCTTTTCGGCAGCGACCTTGGCCTGCTTTTCAGCCTTCTTCAAGGCGCTTTTCGACTGTTCAGCGGGGGGCTCCATGTCTTGCGAGAACAGCAGAGTGGCGGAAAATTGGCAACTACCGCGATAATAGTAATAAATTGAAAATTGCCAATGAATGGACCACTTCGATTCTACCGAGAAAACACAACAACGAGAGAAGCACAAGCGTGGGCTCAAGAACGCTGGTTTTTGGCTAGTGTTGCTTGGGGGAGGAAAAAGATAAGGGAATCTGAATGACTCTTTGCCGTGGTCGTCGGAGCAGCATCGGGGTCGCTGTGCCCCGCGACTCTTGCCTTTCTTTTTTCCCTTCGTTGGAAGGAGGGGCAACTTGGGGCACCATTCAAAATTTCAGGCCGCACGTGCGCTGTCCAATCGGAGCGTTGGGCTTCGCCCCTTCTGTCGTAGTGGGTCAGGTCTGGACACAGGAAGAACGCAGGTCGCGGCTGCCTCCCGCCCGTGCGCCACTACGTACCTAGGTAGTTTCCAACAGCTGATGTGAGGGCACATCCTGGCCGTGGTTGCCCTGTGCCACTTGCCATCTCGGAGCCGGAACAATCTTTCTTCCGGACGAAAAAGTCGAGAGACGGAGATGTACTGAAGCTCAGTAGCTCGTGCCGGCTCTAGGACACAACCTGCAGGCCGAAATTCGATCCGCGACAACCACAACTGCCAGCTCCCCAGACCACGCATACTGCCCGAAAAACTGGACAGCCACGGAAATGGCGTCTATGTTCGAGCAACCCAGGAACGGCACCCTATTTCTGGGCGGCCAGAAGATATCAGGGTCTGACATTCGTGATCAGAACGGTACGGCCCCTCGACACCTCGGTGGGGTGGCGGTCGACCATGTTTTTGCTAATCTTTGGTCCAGTCCTCGCTACCCAGGCAATCGCAAATGTTGTCAAAAGCTCTTTCGGTCCCAGTGGTTTGGATAAGATGATGGTCGACGACATTGGTGTAAGAGTTATCTTATTCGACCATTATACGCCGTTGAACATACCCCTCACATACCCATAGGACGTTACGGTTACCAACGACGGCGCCACCATCCTTGGACTTCTAGATGTTGAAGATCCCGCCGGAAAGATTCTCGTCGACTTAGCACAGCAACAAGACAAGGAAGTCGGCGACGGCACCACGTCAGTTGTTCTAATTGCAGCTGAGTTGCTGCGAAGAGGGAATGAGCTTATGAAGAACCGCATACACCCCACCACGATAATCACCGGCTACAGGCTGGCTCTCCGAGAGGCCGTAAAATATCTCAATGATTATGTCAGCATCAAGGTCGAAAATCTCGGACGCGAGTCCCTCATCAGCATTGCCAAGACATCCATGTCCAGCAAGATTATTGGCGCCGACTCCGATTTCTTCGCCAACATGGTCGTTGACGCTATTCAGGCCGTCAAGACCACCAACAACCGAAACGAAACAAAGTACCCCGTCAAAGCCGTCAACATTCTGAAGGCCCACGGAAAGGGTACTCGTGAATCGATGCTGATCAAGGGCTATGCCCTGAACTGCACCGTTGCTTCTCAGGCGATGCCCACTCGGATCCAGGATGCTAAGATTGCTATTTTGGATATGAACCTACAAAAGGAAAGAATGAAGATGGGGGTTCAGATCACCGTTGACGACCCTCAACAATTAGAACAGATCCGGGCCCGCGAGTCTGGCATGATTCTTGAGAGAGTCGAGCTTATTCTCAAGGCTGGAGCCAACGTCATTCTCACTACCAAGGGCATTGACGACCTTGTACTCAAGATGTTTGTCGAACGCGGTGCCATGGGTGTTAGAAGGTGCAAAAAGGAGGACCTGCGACGGATTGCCAAGGCCACTGGCGGTACCCTCTTGAGCACCCTATCTGACCTCAATGGTGACGAGAAGTACGAACCCTCGTACCTTGGCCATGCTGATGAAGTCAGCCAGGAGCGCATTTCCGATGACGAGTGCATCCTGATCAAAGGAACCAAGGCTCACTCATCTTCGTCAATCGTTTTGCGTGGCCCCAACGACTACTCCCTCGACGAGATGGAGCGCTCGGTACATGACTCCCTGTGCGCCGTGAAGCGGACCCTAGAAAGCGGCAGCATTGTTCCTGGTGGCGGTGCCGTGGAAACAGCTCTGCACATTTACCTGGAAGAATTCGCCGGCACCGTCGGATCCCGCGAGCAGCTCGCCATTGGCGAATTCGCCCAGTCCCTGCTCATCATTCCCAAAACTTTGGCCGTCAACGCTGCCAAGGACGGAGCCGAGCTCGTTGCCCAGCTTCGATCACGGCACGCCCTGTCACAACGTATCCAAGAAGGCGACGGTAGTGAGGATGAAAAGACCATTGCCAGAAAAAAGGGCTACAAGAACTACGGCCTGGACCTGATGCGTGGCAAGGTTGTGGATGAGCTTAAGCAAGGTGTTTTGGAGCCTAGCATCAGCAAGGTGCGACAGCTGAAGAGTGCTGTAGAGGCTTGCATCAGCATCATGAGAATTGATACCCTGATCAAGTTGGATCCAGAGCAGCAGGCAGAGGATGATGGCCACGGTCACTAAAGGGAGAAAAAAAAATGGGTGGCCTGGGAAAGGAAAATGGGATTATTCGGTTGTAATTAGATGCTTCGCCGTGACAAACTCAACCCTGAATCTGAAGACAATTTCTCGGAACTTCCTGCCTACTGAGTTTTCTGCGAGTTTCGTTCTTGTGGTGAGTGATGCATGTTGCAGATTGAGGGAACCACATGCAGGACATGTGGCAGTATTTGCTTCTACTACAGATAGCAGCTGACACCCACATGCAATCGAGAGTTCATACGGTCCAGTGTCCGGTTGTGACGCGACGAAAGTAAAGGAACATATGGAATTATTTCGTAGTACGTTGTATTTTATACAAAGCCGGTAGCTCAAGCCTAAGAAACAGGAGTGGCGCCTCATTCGGACGTGGCAGCTTCTACATACCAACAGTCCTTTTCCCTACTACTCCTTGTCTCCGTCTTCTTCTCCACATTTTCATTGCAACATTTAACAATAATTTCTATTTTCGATCGCTCGAGACTAGCCTTACTCGTACACCAGGTTCAACCACTTAACCAACGACCAGCTTGCCTTCCTCGGGGAAGTCGTATTCGGGGATCTCGAGGTTTAGGGGCGCAGGGCCCTTTCTTATCCGACCAGAGATATCGTAGTGGGAGCCGTGGCATGGGCAAAACCAGCCGCCGAAATCGCCGGCCTCACCGATGGGGACACAACCTAGATGGGTGCAAACACCTAACGTCACGGTTAGTGTGAGTGTTTATGTGCAGCGGTTAACAAGACAGCAGTCTCGGTAGCGACTATCGAGACTGCACCTGGTTAAACCCGTAGCCAGGACCTTCTTACCCAACATTACAAGCCACTCGGGCTGTTTAACACGCTCATCATCGGTCTGGGGGTCTCGCAAGCTAGCGACGTTGACCTTGTTGGCCTGGTCGATTTCGTCCTGTGTTCGGTGTCGGATGAAGACGGGCTTGCCACGCCACTTGATAATGACCTGCAGCGATCAAGTTAGATTGATTGGCAGGTCAATTGATATCGTCGTCCCGTTGAGGTCGACTCACGTTCTTGCCTTCGGGAATGGCGTTTAGGTCCACCTCGACCTTGGCCATGGCCAAGACATCAGCGGAAGCGGACATGTTGACAAGGAATTCTGCCCCAAAAGTATCAGTATCATCCATTGAACTATTTCCCTTTCCAATTACACATCCATCGCAGTCACATAAAGCTCAATGGCTCTCTCCGCCGCCTAAATGTTGAAAAGAAATAGTTGGCCGAAACATACCCTGAACAGTGCTCTTGGCTCCAGCAGCAGATAGGGCACCCATGGTGCCGACCATGAAGTAGGAAAACAGCTTGTTGTTGCCCTCGCCCTTCTTGGACATATACTTTCCAAAGTCCGGGATCGAGCTGCCCTTGTCGGATCCCATCTTGAAAGGGCTTTGGTAGGAGGAAGCCGCGCTGTCCGATCGCACGGCAGTGGTGCTGAGAGCGCGCACCGCGGGCATGGCCGGCTTAGCGGCAGAGCGCAGGCATAGCCTAGATGCGGAAGCAAGAGACGCCATCGTGAGGAGGGTTGCTCGATGCCGGCGACGGAGTGGAGGGAGATGTTGGAGAGGTATGAGTTCTTTACTGCGCATTTAGAGGTACATGAGCCGCTAGATGATTTTCAAACAGTTGCTGCCTGAGGCGACAAAATATCTCGGAAATTGGTGGCTTCTGATTGGATAGGGCGGCCTCTCAGAGCTGCCTTTCCGGACTCGCCCGGGTATCTTGTCCACGCTAATTAATCGTACCATGCCACTCACAAGCAACGGGTTTGATGGCCAATTCACAGCATAGCAGCTTAATTATTCGACGACTTGTATAGTTAATGTTTTGGTCTAAATTCCTGCTTCTAAATGAGTTGATCCGTTTGACTGAGCACGCTACAAAATTGATGCCACTGGCCCTCATTAAGACCCAGTAAGCTGACATCTACTCCGTATGCCAGGATATATTTCCCCGTAGCCGAGTAGAGGTAACATTTCTCAGCTATCATAGAATAGCGTAACGCGCGATAGTAAAGCACTTTATCAGATCACCGCCATTTTGTCTTTCACCCTATCATTATCCGTATATTACACATGTGTCTATTTGGGATCTTATCATCCATTGAGATCCATACTTTTAATGCATCCTTCTCAGCTCTTCGATCATATTTCTCATGTCTTCAACACTTGGTCCAAGGCCCTCACAGACAAGTTCCTGCTTCGCCTCGTCTAGATCCAGAAACCTTTCTACCATTTCCCCATCTACAAAGCGGAAGGGCCCGTCGCCTTCACGGGCCTTATTCCTGAACGCACGCCAGAGGTTGAAACTGACATTTCCTGGAGCATAAATGTAGTCCTGAAGCCTCGCTTGGAAGGTAAGAAGCAAATCTTGATACTTTGGTGCAATTTCGCCAAACAAATATAATGTCCCCTCAATCTGTACTAGTATTAGAAGTTGGGTCCAACAGTTGATGGTAGTTTCTGATAAACCTACTGATCCAAGGAAGGCCTTAGGAGAGACTACAGCGTTCTCGTTCGATGCCACATGTAATCTCCTGATTTGATTAATCTGTTCCCCAATGTTAATCTCACTTGTGACTTCCAGCTTACTCCGGTCTTGCTCAGTAGGAGCTTCTGGGTTCCGCTGCAAAACGATAATATTCCCCTGGGCGTCTGCCTCCAACCACCTCTCCCCATCAAGATTGGTTACGGACGTCGCCCAGCCAGGTTGATAGTGTCGCGCAACCTCTTCTAGTTTAGCGCGAGAACCATCTTTGGATGGAATAAACTCTACCAAGGTCAGGGATTGCATTAGATCGACCACTCCAATGATGTTGCCGGAGATGTCTAGGCCCAGAGGGAATGATGCTGGACGATAGGCTGCCAGTTTTTGCAAAGAGCCGAATACCGTGGTTTCTTCCACATAATTATACACCACCACAGTCTTCGAAAGTCCAGCCACGATGTGCTCTCCAAGTGTGCTGAGACATCGGCATGCACCCTTCAGATTGTGAGAGACGATCTGGTAAACTTGACGATTTTCGTCAACACCAAGCACCAGAATTCGTCCACGAGTATCATTCTCCTCTATGGCATCATCATCGGTTACGAAACTCGTTCCAATAATAAAGCGCTCTGCGAGATTTCCCGTGCTATCTGGTAGCTCTGCTCGAATAACGGTCTCAACCATTTCCAATGATGTGGAGGTGTTGAAGATAAATGGCTTCCCAAGTTCTTGGAAAATAATTTCGTCAACTATTCTGAATGAGCTTGTTATGACCTCCTCGTTGTGAATAAGCTCTTTTTTGATGCAACCAAGCCCGAAAACCTTCAATGTAGGTGAATATGCAACTCGTCGAACAGTTTCCTTCACCGAGAGTGTCTTAACATGTGTGAGACGTTCCTTATCAATATGGCTAAGTCGTATATGACTGTCTGTGGAAAGAACAATAGAGTTTGGAAATGCCTCCGAGTCAAAGGGAGCGACATACGTTGCGTCGTCTGCAGTTGTTGCCGAGTATATAATTCTTCCTTCAGCGCTGTAAATCAAGCTGGCGTGCTCGGTTGTTGCGAAAACGTTACATGTTCCATCCTCTTGAGGAAGAACATGCAGTCGAGCAGGGCTGCTTCCTAGTGTCACACTCTTCCGGCCTGATATTGTGTATCCTTGCATAGACATATCGAACGTGACAACATTTCCATCTTCCAAAGCAATAAGGAGAGTGGGACCAGAAACTTGAGGTGGGTGCAGTTGCACCAGGGCAATATCTCGTGGCACCGACGCACTATCCTCAGTCTGTCTGAGAGGTTCACCATGCAGAGGCTGTAGTGTAGCGAGATCGACAATGGATATAGTGCCTGAAGTCCACCACCCCACCACTCCTATATCAGGAGAATCTCTAGCGGCATGTAGACATGAGATCTGGTCCGGTTGACCTGAGGATTCATCTCCGGATGTATCCCGCAAGACGGCGGCTAAATTGTCGTGCAGGTTCAACGAAACAAGTGATGAGCCATCAATTGAGAGCAAAGCCCATCCTTTATTTGCCGATGCAGCTGTGATTGCCTTGCCACTGGGGGCATCCCATGAGCACAAATTCACACCACTTTCTGAGTCTAGCAAGACAGCAGATTTAGGTGTTACTTGTAGGAGCCGACCATCAGATATATTGACAGCCAGCAAAGTCTCCATATCTAAAGTCAAGCCTTGAAAGGCGTAAACTTCTTCTATGTCGCCTGCAGAGTCGAATCTAAGAACCCGTGTGTCTGCAACTGATGATACCACAAGTGTATCCACATGGCTCGATTCATGAGATCGTAAAGTGAAGAGGCCCTTGGTGTCCTGAATTTCATCAAGGATACCCTGATCTTCAAGACCAACACCACTCCGGATACTTCGCAGACTGCCATCATGATACGCACCGCATCCGGCTACAATCCTGGCCTGACCGGAAGAGAACGCGTTTCCGAACTGACTGTCACCTTCTCTGTTCCCCATATCCATGATTGCAAAATCTAAGATTGGGGCATTGTTAGATAAAGTTTTGACCAACACCATGACTTGTGCATCAATATCGATACGAAGCAACTGTGAATCGCCATGGTGGGAAGCCAAGAAGAGCATGTCATCTCCCATATAAACAAGTGACGACGCTCGAGAAGTATACGCTGATGAGTCAGGGAATCTCATGGGCGAGACCGCCATGCCAGTCACCACGATACCAGTCGATTCAGTGGTAGTTTCAACGGTAAGTATGTCCAATCGTCCGTAGTCATCGGCTAATAAGTAGTGGACGTCGTCATATTCCGTCCATGCCACATATATTTTTGGGTCCTGCAGAGTTGATGAGACCCTCGAGTAAGTGAGGCTGTCGAAGTACGTGATGAGTGTTTCTCCCACAACCAATAATCCTCCCAGATGCGCCTTTGCCCCTTCGTTATTGCGAACATGATATCGTTTCTCTTCCCTGAAGGGGACTGGGATAAGCATAGATGCATATGGATCGGAGATGACTTGATCCAGCTCTCTCTCCCTGTGTGGATCAAAACTGGCCACATTACCACGGTTGTCGTCCTTGGTGAGCCTATATACGGCTATACGAGCCTCCTCTTGGTCGGTTTGTGTCTTGTACAAGAAGGCGATTTTAGGATGTCCGGTTTGGCTGTGCAAGAACGTGCTAGCTTTCATCCAGAGCTCAGTTAATCGCACTTGATCTAGAGCCACCAGCTTTGTTGTTATTCCCTTTCGCATAGGCAGACGGAACACGTTTAAAACGCCTTCCCAAAGATGCATAGCCATGAATTTGCCTGTGGGGTCTACCAAACACTTGTTCTGACTCTGAGAATGCCGCATGTACTGCTCAGCAACATCCTCAATGGTTTGTTCGACTGTGTCTAGCTGGTTCGTTTCGGAGTTCCAGGCAACGTTGAAATAATTTAATCGATCGGTGCCTATGAAGAGCAAATCGGTTTCGGAATCTTTGGGCTGCAGGCGTTGGAGCATGGATATCGTCCCGTAGATTAGCTTTGTATGAAGACAAGTCATTCCCTCGTCGGTAAGGCGCCATATCTCGAGCCGATTAGCTTTCCTGTCAGCACCAAAAAATCAGTACAACAGTCCAACCACAAATGTTTGGTAACAATCTAGAGCCAGGGCTGCTGGGTAACTCACGCGACTACCAGGTCCTCTACATCTGGGGACAAGAACCTGATGCGCAGAGCATGTCGAATGCTCGTTGGCTTGTGCACCGGCGCAATATAGGACATGGTGAAGTCAAGGCAAGGCGGTTTAGTGATGCACAATTGAAGAGGCTCTCCTCGAGAGCCACACGAACTCCTCCATCTAATGGTGGTGAGGTTGCGCGGGCTGTCGTCATTCGTGATCGGAATTAGGGCGGACATGTGGAGGTTCTGGCAAATCTGTGGGCGCTGGAGGCACCTGACTGCAGGTACGGAGTAACTTAATTGGCGTCTGGTGAACTGGTTTGGTCTGGACATGGAGCACGCTGGTACCAAATGGCCGCTGTAGTAATGCCATGAACTGCGTACATGGTACCAGCACGCAACATTGAGCTACTATTACACCCACTGTACTTACGCTTGACCTACTGGGAGCTCTGGTCCGGCGGACCAGACCTACAGAAAGCCTGATCGCTCCTGCCTAAAAATCCAACTCAACCGTGACATGTTAATCACCTGCGGTAATGCAAAATCTCGGGAGCAACCTAATGATAGCAGTGACCAAAATGTCGGCCTCATCTGACCCCGGTTCGTCTACCTACAGTCCCCATTATCTGTGTCCTTCTTTAGTCCTTGATAGGGCCCGGGTAGGGGGAACATGAGAAATATCCCAGATGACAACGTCGAAACCGCGGGTCAATATGCGAGGCATGAGAATTGCTTCATTAACCATCGTGGCTATCCGTTCGACATCGCGTATCAATTATCTTCTCTCCAACAAACGACCTTTCCCGGCCAGTCAAATTCTCCGGAACCAGAAGGAGAACACGAGCTATGTGCCGACCTGTTACCTGATCCAACGCTTGAGCACAAAGAGCCCCCTAACCGATATCAGCAATTCTTAAATGGCCTGGAAGAACGCTGTAACAACATAGAATCCCTCCCTCGAATGCTTCCAGCGTGGAATGATGCATACACCACTCTTACATGGCCGACAATGTTTCTTGAAATAGATTTTGATCCAGAACTGGACTTAGCAGTACATAAGGAACAAATAAGGGCCAAGAGGGACCCCGATCTCACCAAAGTTTGGCTGCCAGTCTCGCGAATGGATGAAGCAAAAGATGAAGGTCTACAATTCCCTCAGCGAGCGCGCAGGTTAGCACAGCTGCTTTGGCACCAGCTTGAGAATGAGAGGACGACAACAGATGCCGATCAAAATTATTTGGATGAGATTAGACAGGAAGCCGATCAGGTTGTGGAGAGTTTCAGTAAAACATCAGGCTCTGTGTTGCCATCCGTAAGTCCGATTATCTAGCATCCTCAACCCATTATTAACGAACCCAGTTAGACGAGAACTTCGTAGAACTCGCGACAATGTCTGCACTATCGCAGCAGGACAGAGAATCCTCTTCCGATGCAGAGTCTTTTGTTTCGGTCATTGATCTTACGTCGGAGCCGGATAACGTCAACTTACGACAAGACGATTTCGCCGTGTCAGCAACAGACCCATGTACCGATACAAATACGCATATTTGCTCCCCATCGCAAATGTTGCCTACCAACGGGACTCAACTTTGCTATGAAGTGAGTGAGGACTCTCACAAGCAGGATCCTGAGGTATTCTGTCCGCCTCGGATTCGTAATAGTTTCTCGCCATCCCCGTACCGTTTCTGTTCGGACGATTCCAAGTCATGCTCTTTCCAAGAACCCTATGACGACGGCAACGAAGCTCTGGTAGCGGTTGTCAGTGATGAAATACCAAAGAAAAAGCCGCCTGATCAGGAGTCTGTCGACCTATCCATTTCAAAATACTTTGTGCATAACACAGCTTCTGATACTGCTCATGAAGCACCCGAACTTCCACGGTTGGAAACCCGACCAAACAATCGGGTTGAAATTATGGTTAATAAAGGATTGAGAAGGGGTTTCTCACAGAAGGGCACGGTAGAAGAACGGTTGGTCGGCATACAAGCCCAATCCGCTAACCCCAGTTTCCTGGAGCCGTCAAAAGAGTCCATACAAAAGCGAAATAGCAGTGAAAATGCTTACAACACTGGCAACTTGCTAGCTCAGTTTATGGAAATGCGAGGTATTAGAAACAGTCGAGCGATTAGCTCCGACGCTGGACCGCCGTTGATATTGAGTCACCCAAAAGCCAACATTCCAGGCCAAGAAGTGGCCAAGATGCAAACCAATCCAAATATCGAAAAAGGTCCGGATCAACAACCTGCTCTTGTACCAAGAATGTTGACTCCGAGGAAACCCGAATGTTGCTTAATATCGCTCCAGTTGGGATATTCTATGATCAAGAACCTAGAGAAAGGTTGGCCGGCCGACAAGTTGGTTGATAGGGACTATACGAGGCATCTACGCCTCTCAGATCAGTACACATGTGGCAATGACGCCGTCTCCTTTATTTCTCACGCCCATGAGGTTGATGTTTCTTTGACGCCAAACGACGGCATAGTTGTAACGACTCTGTTGCAGGTCAAGCAAAAACGATTGCCCGGGTCAAAGACTTTGACATCGCTGCGTCAAAGAATATTGAGCCTTAGCCAACAATACCGAACACTTATAGTATTTGTCTCTGAGGCCAATATCGCTGGCGAATACATGGCAGAACTGCCAACGTCAGATCTGGCTGCGTATGCTGATTTCGTTTGTTTCGTTTCCTACCTTGCAGCGGATATTAATGTTTACCTTGTCCCAGGGTCAGACAAGACACTCTCCCGCTGGATCTTGTCGGTCATGGCACACTATAGTCCACAAATGGAGCATCTTGGAGACAGCATGGCATTTTGCGATACCAAGTGGGAGCTGTTCTTTCGACGATCTGGTATGAATGTGCGAGCTTCCCTTATGTTATCTCATGTGCTGTTCAAAGAATTTGGGAGCTGTGGACTGCCTACACTTCTAGGAATGACGGCAGAGCAACAAATGTCAAAATATGGGGCGCCGTTGGGGCTGGAAGGACATATTTTACGTGCAGGGCGAATATGGGATATTGATAACAAGAAAATATAGTACATCAAGTATTTAATGGTGCTCGACTAGGAAAGATTGATCAGTATAATCTATACTCTTTCTGACAACTGACGAGCCCGTACTCATCTTAGCTGACCCTGTGATCAGGAAGCACTCATACCTCCCCTCGCTCGGTATCATCATAGCAATGAATGCTTCTTGCCTGATTCCCAATTTCCAGCTCACTGAAGTTACATGTTCCAGGATCCTCCATCCCAATCCAAAGGGGTTCATTGCATTTACTATCACTACACTCTAGCGTCAGCTCGCCCACCGTACAAGGGAGAAGGTAACAAACTCACATGTAGAAATCACACACGACGCCCTCTGGGACCTTGGCACCGTTGACTTTTCCTGTCCTAATATTATTATCCATTAGCTGCCACTGTGTCAACAGGAGTCGCTTTTCACTGCACGTACAAGTCTTCGGGCAAGAGGGTGCATTTGTCATCTGGTTTGATCGTATACGCTTTGCCTTGGCATCTCTCCTTAGAATACACGGTTGCCTGCTGCGAATCAGGAAATCGTCCTGTTATTCAGTCAAGTTCATGAGCTGCGCTTGCCTTCTCTACAACTAGAGCGTTCACCGCCACAGATAACATCGCGCCAGTCGCGCAAACCTGGAAGCGCATGACGGGCAGCCGGGTCTAGGTATCAAGTGGCAACACGTTGTTCAGTTTTTAGCGAATTTTTTCCATGGTGGCAGAAGAAAAGGTATCACAGGCTCTTATAGTCGGGTACACTCAAACAAAGAGCTCCCAGCCACGCAGTGTGTCACTCAATGACTACGACAACCTTCCATTCCAAAGAATTCGAGAAATTTTTTTCAATTAGCGTACGGATAGCGGTAGCAACACCATTCTTAAAAAGGGGGACGATATGATTCACCTACTTTGGCCAAGTACATGCCGATCACGCGGCACGCTGGGACGATACCATCCTCCCTCTTGCGCCGTACGAAATTGAATGTTCCAAGGCTGCTGCAGGTCTGAGACCAAGACTGTGGCTTACATATTGGGATCAGCGGCCCGGCAGCCGGTTCGATTTACACGGGAGCAGTACTACCGGACAATTCGGGGCGTGAAGGAGGGTCAAGAAGCAATTCGTGATTGAGAAAAGCTGCTACGGAATGTTGCTAGGAGGGGAAAAAGAAAAATGGGCTCCTTCGGAACCTTTGCCGGCATCGAGATTGGAGGAAGTAAACGCGAAAAAGATGTCCCAGCACATTTCAGTGCTTGATCATTGTACGCCATTGATTCTTTTTGCACTGTCGCTTCTAAGTGTCGACATGGTTGGAGCCATGAGGCGCGAATGAACAACGACCCGGCAGTTGGTCCTCGATTAACCTATTTCACCCGAGCTTAGAATCAGCCATCCAAGTCTCGATGTCCATTTCTCGATGCACTGTATTCTCCCCGTATGTGCGGCGATTAATATCTTCGGGTTGGACGCCGACAGCGACGTCCATTGTGCTATTCGAATCTAGCAAAGGGTTAGAGTCGTATATATTGTATGTTTTATTCTACTTCAAAAGACTGCAGTCTCAAATCATCGCCCAGATGTTATTCAAGGGCCGGGTTCAAGCCAGACAGCCAGATTTCCCTGGCAGACGCCCCCTTAGCATGACTGGCATACACCTCAACGAAGGCTCAAGGGCCAAGTAGGATTGTCACCTAACTCAGGGAAGATATTGGACGAGGATAAGACGATGTGACGTTCTTGCTGGCTTGACACAACTGTTTTGTAGGTTTGAACATGTCTCCGTGCAGTAAATTTCCGGACTGTCGAGGATTTATGCATCTTTAACGTACATGGCGATCTCAGAATAGCACAAAAATGGTTGTACACAAGTTGTTGTTGCTTCATCGACACCTACCATCCTACAAATGCATTGAACATTGGTCGGCTCACGTCTTGGGCGAGTCACAGCTGTCGTAGAAAAAAATCCATCTGCCAAACCACGATAGCATAACGAGTAGACATTTCGAAACAGGCCCCGTGCCGTTTTGTGTTTCGTTTTGTAAGTCCTCAAGTGCTTGCTGCACATTTCGGGGGCCAAGAAAGAGGGCCTCCATGTCCCTTCAGACCCAGCCAAATCCGGGCTGCGGCAAACAAGACCGACAGACCACGGCTGACACGCATGCCGAACTGGCCATAAGGCAGCACATCAATGCAAAATATCACTTGTGCTATGTGCCCGTGAGGGGGGGGGAAGGTGACGTATAACATGTCAAAAACTATATGACCTAGTGTGACTTTGCACTGCGTGTCAACACATCGAGGTCATCCATCATCACTGGATATCACTGGCTACGTCTCCGTGAAGGAAAGAACGAGCCATCCCCATGTCTTGGACCTTGGCTTCCATGGCTATACACCAGTCAGCCCCTTTCGTACGATTCGCATAAAGATCCCTTCCCCGCCCCAAACTTGGAGCACGTCGACAGTTGTCACAGCCTGCCGAGTGTTGCGACAACCGTGAGCTCAGAGAAATGGCGTTCCTGGCTTTCGTAGCTTCCATGGTCATTTCTGGCGATCCTGTCGCGAACTCTAGAGCTATTGGACGCATGCATCAGATTTGAGGCGCGGGCAATGTACAGAACCCTGAGCCAAACTCTCGAAGAGTAAAACTTGGGAACAATCACCTCCATGACACGGGCAGTCAGAACCGACAATTATCCCTCAATCTGGTTGTGTTTACGATACACCTTATGAACCCTGACCCTAGCGAATCTCCAATCTCGAATTTCCAGCGACTCCATTTCCGCAGGGCTGAAACACATTTAAAAGCCACAAGTCCTTGGGCCAGCCAAGGTTGCCCGTGTCCAGTCCAGGATTCAGACTTGCCTGAACGAATTGTGTGACGTGCGGCATCTATCCTGGACTGCAGACTCGAGCCAAGGATCAAAAAGCCAAGACGGTGTTCATGACCCATAAATTAGCGACTAGATGGCAATGAATGTCTATTCTCAACGCTGCCGGTCCGGTAGGTTTGACCGACGCTTCTGTCAACCCTACAAAAAGGCTACGTTTGCGAGAGCGCCTGTTTTCTATGATGTGTCCAAATTGTGTCTAGATTCAAAAGAGATAGAAAGGACAAGACCAAACAAATACAAAGCTATTCAACACATCTCCCACAATGGTCGAGGTAGTTTCTTTGCCCACGACCCATCGACTTGGTGAATTTGCTTCAGACCGATGTATACGACTCGACATGATGTGTTGGTTGGGGCCATAGACCTCGATGCAAGGCCGTAGTAATCGGATATGGCGTGGGCCAGCCAGCGCCTGAATGTCATTATTAGTACCACGCCGTGCCACGTAGAAATTCAATTGCTCCTTACTTGAAAGCCGCACTTTCGCCCTCACCAAAGGAGTCAAATACAAGGCCAGAATCGACCGTCTCCTGGGGAGCTGTCCTCTGGGCCCTGCAATGTCGAGCCTCCTTCTTCTCACGCAACTCTCGCATAGCACTGTCTCTACCTACGAAGACAATTTCCTCATCGTCCGAGTCCAGCTCAGATTCGTTAGAGATCTCATCGCTTCCACGCTGTCGTCGTGCCGACTCCAAACGCCGGTCCTGCTCTTCGAAAAGGAACTGCCTGACAGGATCCTCTATTGCATGGACCCAACTCCGGATGGCCGGAGTGCGTTTCGCTATCTCCCGTAGGTCTCGGGGAACTTCACCAACGCTTAGGCCGGTAGCACTTCCAGTTTTGAGTTGTTGCTTCTTGCGAACGGCTTGAAGCTTTGTTGTTTTCTCTTCAACTCTCTGTCGGAGGCCTCGGTCCCAGAATTGGGCGAGTTGATACGGAACTCGTTGAACTGGATGTGTCGGCCGAACCTCCCAATCTGCAGCCAACGGTGGCTGGGCGTTGGGAACACCAACAAGCCGGTCTAGACAGTGTGGTAAGCAGCGGATTCAACCGCAATCACGAGACAAAGACGGCTGGAGCATTACCATTTTCCCATCGCCGACGCTGGCGACTCCCTTCCTTACCCTTGAGCAATTCATCTCGGCGCTTCATGCTGTCACGCCTCGACGGGGGTCGACGTGGGAGCGCATTTTCACCTCCAGCCTCGTTGAATGCAACGACACGCGTCTGCTTCTGTGTGGTTGCTTCATTGTCGAGTGGGATAGACAACGGAGTACCAGTCCCACGCGCAACTTGGGGCACGCTCAAAGATTGCAGTGCAGATATGGTCCATGCATTAATGTCGATGGCGCCATTTGTGACAGGCGTGGACGCTGACTGCAAATGGACAGGAATGTTGGTGTGTTCCTCTGGTGGAGGAACTGCACTGTATATGGCCATGGAGATAGGGGGGAGAGAGATACAGAGAGAGAGTCGTGCGCAAAGAGCGAATCAATGTACCAATTCGAGGGACAGTGCAGATAAGCGTTCAATCTTCGTCAGAAGTGACTCCTAGAGCCGGCATATGTCGTCTTCAATGTTGGTTGCTGATACGCTCCAGGCTGCAACCAACGTGAGAATGTCGTCGTGGTATCAATGGAGGGGCGGGCGCATCCTAAAGTAGGTTGTCACTGCGATGCTGTGACTCGACGGTGGGGCCCACGAGGTAGAACGCGCTCTGCGATAGGCTAGGATCGGCTACGGATAGGCCAACAATAGGCCAGAGATGGGCCGTGGAAGCTTGAGGCTGCACCCCAGAGATCTGCTATCGCCGCTCAACGTTGTGCAATGCAAGTGTTTGGCCAAGTGCCTTTTTGGCGACACACATACACCACCGTCACCTCATGGCTCCAGCGTTCTGACAGCCACGAATTGTGTTCCGCCATACTCTCAGTCCGCTCAAAGATCAGGGCAGGAGCCCTCCGAACTGGGCGACAATACTATATCTGCTTCAGTACGGAGTACATACCAAAAGCATCCTCCTAGAGTCGGAAAGTGAGATGCAAGCACTTAAAGCATGCCCCGCCGAAAGCAATGTGATACCCCTGTCCAATCGTCATGTCACGAGCCAGACAGACCTCACATGAGCAGTTTAAGCAACATGCATAAATACTTATAACCGATCAAACTGACTCTATTGTAGGCTGAGCTCCTGCCTCTTTATGACCAATCTCGCCAGTCACGTCAGAGGCGGTACAAAGCCATCCTTTCTTCCCGTGGCAGAAGCTTGGCTGATGCAGATGCCCCATATCTCCAGTAAGATTAGCAAACGAGAGAACGCAGTTTCCTGGATCTAGTGAACAACAACACAATGCATTCTCTCTTCCGTTTTGTCTTCTCGGGAATGCGCATGCCCATAAACAGGAGCAATTATTACAAGAGAACGACTAAAGGACAACCCGCAAATTCCCCTGCATACAGTCTAGAACCCAGCTTTCCCTAGCGTTTCTTGGTAGTTCGATAATTCTTTCGAGGATTTCCGATGCCACCGGGGCGTAATAAAGGCTGATTCTCCCGTTCGATAGCTCTTTGCTCTCGCTCCTGAATATCGTCCAAGTCTTCTTCAGTTTCGGCGTATCGCTCCGGATGCCCCGTGAAAGGGCCTGGCAAGTCTCGTTCCCATCCCTCGGAATAAGTCCTGCTTGCCAGTGAAGGTCGCGGTGGCGCTGAGTTCTGTAGGGAGGAGTACGTGGCGTCGACATTTTGATTCGACTGTTGGCGTTCATGATGTCGCGCCGCCATCTCGTAGTAGATACCAAGTACTAAGACGCAGCCTTGCATGATGGCTGTCAAGAGATAAATTGCCCATGTACTCCACCCTTTTGGACCAAGCCTGGCGTAGAGACTTGCGGCAAATAAGAGGCCTCCCGGAGTCTGGATACACATCATCGGAATGCTCAAACTCCCAACATGTTTCAAGTGGTACGTGGTCCAAATCTGCGGAAAGTATTGAATTGCTGCCAACGCTGTAGCCATAACCCCCAAGAAGTTTGCCCAGGCTGTCATATGGTTCGGCAAAGCAATTGTAAAGACGCCAGTTATGATGACAACCAGCAGGCCGTGCACGACGCAGGCGAGGCCAACACCAACCGCGGTCTGCCATTTTGGAGATTCTCCCGCAAGCTCCTCAGAAGGTATAGTCGCATCTCGGTATCGAAAGAATATAAGGAATAGAACGAGTCTAGAGCCCTCATTGGGTCAATAAAGCAAACTTAGTCAAGTGACCAGAGCAAGAATCCCAACACCAAAAAAACGCAGGATGAATTACACATACATGAGAGTGAAACAGACCCACTGCGTACCAAGCTGAGCAACGCCCAATAATCCAGCAGTGCACTGAAATGCCTCTAATTCTTTGCAACATCCTATAGCAGCCCTGGACTGCGGAACAGTCAAGATGTTGGCAAAGCCCGAGGTGGCGGACGTAGTTCCAAGCAGAACAAAGTAGGGGGAGATACCTTCCGCCGTTCCTCGGGAAATGATTCGATAATGTTGTGGAAGATATGATATTAAGAGGCCAACTAAAATGAGGCTATTGTAGGACTGCATGTCAGTAACTTTCGACCTATGGCAGGCTGAAGGACAGGGTAGTGTAACATACATAGATATTACAAGTTCGAGATAAGAGGGATCCTTGAGCGCCTCGCATTCAGAATACCTATACGAAAGTAGAGAATCCATGATGGCCATCCGACCTTCGCATAGAGGAGATAATATTTCGCGACGTGTCGGATTGTTTCTGTTGCTTCGCGTCGGGTTGATATGTGAGAAGGCAATGCGCAACTTTAGACATTGACTGTTGCATAGGATGTTCAAACAAACCAAAACGCAGTAGTTTTCGGATGTCTTGAACCTTGAAATCGGCTAGGTCCAAGTACAAGGCGAGTTATACCAACGAACAGAACGCGTCAAGGCAGCACGAAAACATGTTTGTCTGTGAGATTAGGGCGAGGGATGAAACAGGATCAAGGAAAATGGTGCGGGTAAGCGTGAGGCCGAGGAATAGATCCAGAGGCAGCAATAATTCGGAAGCAGCCTGTGCAGTGGGCGACAACTGAGCCGGAAGCTGTTGAAGCTTGCGAATGGTGGAGTCGGTCAGCTGGTGAGGCTCGAAGTTGGAGGAGTAAGATTGATATGGGGATATGGATCGGGTTGAGGTGACATCCAGACGGACATACAGTACAGGCTCGCAGCCACTCGGCCAAGGACGAGTGAAGGGCAGAGGCGGCCGTGGACCTGGACATCTAAGGTATGAAGCACCAAACAAGCACCTGAGGGGATGTGACGCAGGAGGCAGGAGCAGGTGTCAGGACCCACCTGCCTGATCGCGCCGTTGTCGTGTGGATCCGTCGTGGGCTCGCGGCTGTCCTTGGCAGGATGACTGGTGCTGCGGCGGCTCAGGCGGTCCGAGTGGTCTTTGGCCGGGGGGGTTATCCCTTGGAATGTGCGCAGGTGCCTGTTATGTACCTACTCCGCTTTTCTGCGATACTCAATAAGTACATCTCTTGTGGGTGTTAGCTTCCTTGTGTGACGGTAACTTCTTACATATATAGGATTAAGAATACTTTTTTTATCACATAAATTCTGAGGTAACTTAAGTGCCTTTTAATGTAATATCTCTAGTTTGTCAGCATCCTTGGTCGTTACAAAAATGGCACCTGCGCACATTCAAAGGGATAAGCAAGTGCGGTCTGGTACAAGGGTCCTACCTAAAGTGGGAAGCACGCCAGTTCTAGCCATCCAACATCATCCGCACGTCAGTGCTAGTTCAGAACAGGACCTGGTTTCCTTTGCGTCGCGAGTTGGGAGTTGGGATAGAGCGATCCAGCAACACACAATTTCTTGACTCACACGCCCCAGTCGGCACTGACCATGCAATACCGCCCGTGTGACGTGACTAGCTCCTGCCCTAGAATAAGGCCCTGATCCTATAAACCGCGGCTGACATCGGTCAGCCGGCTGACGAAGAGACTTGCGCCACTAAATTTTAAGGGGATATTCCCTTGTGTCGACCTCCACTGGTCTTCGGTTGATCCTTGCCAGCGATATTTTTCACCGCCTTTGTGGTGTTTTTCTCGTCAGCAAGGTCGGGCGCATCGTGAAAGGCCATAACGCAATAACTTTATTGACCTGATTACAGCTTTAGCAGGTATATCTCTTTGTTCAACGGTATCAGCGACCATACTGACCTTTTTATCATTCCTTGATAACTCACTATGCCCTGGACCAAATTAACAACGCTGTATTTTCTCGAGTTATTGCTAGAGGCCCGGCGGAATAACCTTCTTTCGAGTGTAAAAAAACCCGCATTTCGAGACCTATGCAAGTCATTAGTTAAGGAAATGCAAGAGAAGTTTCTACATGAAGTTTGGACTGTGAAAATGCTGGAGAATAAGCACAATCATTTACGAACTTTTTGGAAAGCATTTCGTGATGCTGCCGACCGGTCTGGCACAACGTACGATACCGAAACGAAAAAGCTGTGTTTAAGCGAGCAAAACATTGATTTGATTCGGTCAAAGTACCCAAAATGCGGTCGGGTGGTTACTTCACAGCCATTATTAACGAATGATGTAATTGATTATGACGAATGGCTTGAGATTTTTTCCAATGAGACTCCCACCGGCCAATTCATAACCGAAGCCCACGAGACTAAAGGATTTATATCTGTCGATCGTCAAATGGAAGCAGATAATAGCCAGGATAATTTTCTTGAAAGCCAAGAGACAATACAAGCCAGGGTTAATCATACAAATACCGTGAAGACTAGTGGCTCTAATAGTATTGATGATTTTCTCGAGGAAGGCCCTTCTCAAGGGGATATAATAAATTCGGCACAGGCGTTATTGATAAACGAATCCGACGATACCAGCGATACTGGTGAGGCTTCAACGCCAACAGGGCCCTCGAATCCTTCGCGAAGGACGCCGCAAAGCTCGTTAGCTAGCGAAATACAGCCAAACAGACTGCCAGGGAGTCTTCGAAAGAGAAAGGCATCATCCCTACAAACAGATTTAATGTTAGCAATGTCTGAAGCTATTCATGAGCTTGCTAAGCGGCCCCGAAATCACATCATTAGCTCTAATCCACAGTTAGAAGGCGCGGATCACCTGGAAAGGGCTTGCAAAGATGCCCATAAATTGGGTGAGGAATTCGGGCTATCCTTATCGGTTCAAGTTCTTTCATGGCTTCAGAAAAACCCAAGGAATCCAGTATTGTGGAATTCTCTTCCAACAAAGGAGTTAAAACAAGCGTGGATAGCTTCAAATTTCGGGGAAAATGTTGAAGGTTAAAAAAGGGTTCAAATTAGCGGGGTATCTAGCTAGCTTGGTGTTTTTCTAGCAAAAAAAGAGCTGCCGGCTGCTGCCTAGAAAAGCTGCCTTTTTTCCATCAAAACACCAACAAATTCATCTCATAATATGAAAATACATGCGTAGCTATCTTCTTGCCGCTCCCATTATACCTCCTGGGCATCACCGCAGATAACCCGTTCATGACTTTGGCTCGTAATCAAGAGAAAGCGCCTTTTCACTGTCCCATCAATAACCCATTCCTTCTTCCTTGTTCAGTTAACAAGCGGGGAAAATTTCTTCACCAATTCGTATTCGGTGTCATTGACAGTTGCCATCCAGGACGTCCGTGGAGGCAAGGACTGTCGCTCCAGTGCAGGTGAGGAAACCAGCTTACCTGCAGCTACATGGCGACGGACGAAGCCGGCGTATTGCGGATGCAATTCAAAATATGCAGGATTTCGCCCTTCTATCAAGAGGCAATCCAGCTCTGGGCATTCGTCAACAGTCGTAGTAGGCACAATCGCAATAGCGCCGGTCAGAAGATGCGCGAGGTCACAGGTCAGTCCGAAATGGTGGAAGACAAAATCCGGTGCGCGAGCTATGGTTTCATCGTCGAGGGGCCCAAAAGTTTTGCCAACCGTCATAAGTCCCTTGCTTGTGGATTTGAGATCGGTTGCCCAACTATGTGGATGACTTGATGATCGATCATAAACAAGATAGCCAAAGTGAATTGGAGCTATGTTGCTGGTTGTAGTGCACCAAGTTGTCGTGACGATGAGCTGATAAGGCACAGGTGTTAAACCTCACTAATTGTGGTCTCTGATAGAACTCAAGCGCAGTTTATATTTCCTCCGTCTGCATGAACCTGCATCCAGAGTATCTTTCAATGAGGGTATTGTGTTGGCAATTCTGACTGGGGTCGTATGTTCAACATTTTCTACACCGTGCTTGCTAATCCGTAAACACCTAGTCGATAGTTTCGGACACCCATGAGCTGATTTTTCACAAGGTCCAGTCATTACTAATGTCGATTCTCTTGCCCTGTATTTGGCAATAGCCTTTGCCAGGATACCCGTGAAGATTTCACGTCGTGTCACGTCATCCTACCACACCGCCACCGAAAGACCAAATTTTCAGACTTGATTCCTCCAGAATTTTGCAGCTCCATCCCTGCCCAGCGTGTGCGTCGACTGCATCATATTCATCTTTAATATCGGAATGCTCCCATCCCCCAGAACAGGTGGCGATGACTGATCCGCTATTATGCAAAATTGAGGCACAGACCGGAGAATCATGAGGATTCCAACTCCAGGACGGCTGCGTTTCTGCTGCAGTCAGTCCGACTTGGTCCCAAACAATTACAGAGCCATCTTGAGAGCCGGCCCACACCTCAAAACCTCCATCCCCGTGTTGACTGCCTGCAAAGACGTCACAGTTCAGTCTCTGCTGCGACAAGTTTTTTCGGCCAGCCAAGATGCTGAGCAACCTTCCCGAACCCCGAATATCATAGACCAATAAGCCATTCGAATGTCGTTCGTTGATAATAAGGTAGCGCCCGCAGGGACTCCATAGCACTTGGACGACTCCTTGTCCGGCATAGGAGTCTGACGATCCCGGCAAATCGGATTCCGATATTCGCCAGTTAGCAACTGCACCGTCCGAGCGATGGAGATCGTACAAACCCATCCAGCGTGTCCGCGTGCCGGCAGCAACAAGAGGGAGCCCATTGACATTTGGGGGTGAAACACCCAGAGCGGAAACGGTTCCTTTCATACCCACCCCGTGTCCCTTGGAGATATGCCTCTTGGAGGGGATGGTAGGCACTGTTAACACAGGTCCATCTGATCCGTGACGTGATACGTCAAAATAGTCCAGACGGTTGGCAGAACCGCATATGAAGTGAGTGCCGGGATGCGGCCATACCAGTGAGGCTGGTACAATGTACTGCTCTGTTTCGTGCCTGATAAACTTGTAATGACCGATAGGTGCAGAGCGAGGATCATCCGGAAAAGCATGATAAAGATGCAGTGGATGATCTCGACACCCTACAAGGAATGTTTGAGAAGCCGCTTCAGACAGGGAGAAGAATGGAGCAGGTGCTATGACCTGAGTTGGTTCAGGCAACTTGATTTTCGCCTGGGGTTCCAATTGGCGAGTCCCGCTGTCGAAATCCATTAGATCTGCGGGCAGGACAAAGGACGAAACAGAATTGTCAGAAGATCCCGTGATTATTGTTGTGCCATCGCCTGTCCATTGTGCAGAGGAGTAGAAGACGCGATTAGAAGGCAGCCTCGAGCGTTCTGCTAGAGGGGTCGCGAAGTGTTGCGCCAATAATTGCGTCTTGGGCGTCTGTGTTGCCGTATCATCGGCGGCTTGTCCACATGCCACTAATGGTATTGATTCATGTTCCATTGTACGTTCCTCGTGCTGAGCATGTTGGATGCCATGTAATGTCCGAATGCAGGCCAGGAGCTGTGGACTGATTTAGGAGGTGCAGCCGAACACCGCAGAGTTTGGTCACGAATGGCCCGTCTGGTCCCGGTCCTAGATACTTTTGATGCCTGTTGGTGAGGAATTTTCGCAGCACGAAACACGTTTTGCTCAGTAGTGAGAAATGGGTGTGGGATTCAACGGCAACTGCAATTCAATGTAATTATCACGGTCAGGAACTTGGAGGAAAGCTAAGGAAGTGGGAGTAACTGTTTGTAGTGCTAACAATAACATCCAGGTCTGGTTCGAGATATTTTCGGCGAGTCCAGGCTGCCACCAGCAAGCCACACTGGCCAGCACGAGATGGCTCCGGTTCGGAAAGGTCAGCCGGCTGGAAACACTGCACAACACGCATAAATATGGCGCTTACCCGTTTTTAGTAAGGGATCTACACATAAAGTTATGGACGAAACCCACACCATTCATAAAACACCAAGACCCCCTGCTCACGATGTATCGAGCTAGCAGGGACCGAGAGGTGACCCCCCTAGTCATATATTCGAGGAGATGTATCAGAGGGGAGGTTTATTGACCTGTTTCGGATGCCAAAGGCAGCTTTTTCAACGCTTTATAATTGGCTTGAAAATAACACAAATTTAACTGCTTCGCGATATCAATCGGTGCAACAAAAAGTCGCGATCTTCCTTTAAATATGTGCTTTTGGCGAGCCTCAAAGAAACGCAGCATCTCAATGGCTACTAAGCCAATCATCTGTCTCACGAACAGTCCACGAAGTCATCGATCCAATGGAGCAGTTACATAAAAAATTCGTTCAACAGCCCGACTCAATGAAAGTATCGCGATACGCTGAGCTGCAGGAGAAATTCATCCAATTCAACGGCGCCATTGGGGCCATTGATGGTACGCATATTACGGCCTTTGTGCCGCTTGCACACCAGACGAAATTTTGGTCAAGAAAGGGCCGGATAACGCAAAATGTGCTGGTAGCCGTGGACTTTGACGAATTGTTCGTTTATGTGATGGCAGGCGCAGAGGGTTCCATGCATGATATAACGTTATTACGTATTGCCTTATTAAAGTCCTTCAATATCCCTTCTTCGCGATATTCTCTTGGTGATGCTGGCTTTGGCACAGCACAACGTTCGTCAATTCGAGGGCTTTTAACGCCTTTTTCGAGGACTCGCTATCATTTGAAGGAATTTGCACAATCGCACCAAAATCGGCCGCAAAATGAAAAGAGCTCTATAATCTACGTTATTGTCAGCTTCGAAATTCTGTTGAGAGAGCGTTTGGCCGCTGTAAGCGTAAATGGAAGGTGATCCGCCATGGAGCTCCTGAATACCCTTTTTCCTTTCAAATCAAGCTAGTTTATGCCGTAACAGCTCTTTCCAACTTTATACAGCTTGGGGGATTAAGCCCTGATGAGTTTAAACGGCAGGAAGCTGCAAATTTATCGTTGATTGAACAGGAAACGATGCAAGAAGCTGCACAACGCGCAAATGATGTTGTTAGCGATAAAAGAGGGTTTGAAGTTCGTGATGTTGTATCAAAGCACCTCTGGGATCAATATCTTGGGGTTTTACGTGAAAGAGAGATGATGAGCGATTGAAAGCGCTAATATTGAGAAATTTGGTTCCTTTCCCACAGGCCGCGTTGCATTCAAATAAGTGCCGCCTCACTGCAAGCAAGTGCCAAGCCAGACCCGAACCTCCGAAATCCTGCGCCGCATGATGGCGGTGACAAAAGGAACTTGGACGATTGGCCCAATGTGTACACTCTCAATCCAACGGCCGTATTTTGTACTGACCAAAGTGAGCACAGCTACAGTGCGTTTAATAAAGAGCATATTACCATGCATGTTCTGCGGCTGCACCGGTTCTGAGACAAGACGAGCCACTCACATGTATTTGTTGCAGAGGCTTATTACTTAATGGCGTCCATGTTTCATGAAATTTAGCTAGATTACATACATGGTTACTTGTTAAAGGAAGACACAGACTGGAATTGTAGAATTGGTGTTGGCATTGAAATATCGCCGTCAGCCAGTCTATACTCTGTAAGAGGAAGCTAGGCTTGCTATGGATGTAATCCGATTGAATAAGGGGTCGTTGCCCAAACGCAAAGATGAGATCCTTCTAATTCACGTTCAACATCCTTGTGATGTCTCCCAGGAGCACGGCGGAGATCAGCCGATCACCCTCGGCGGAGCTCTGACTTATAAAGCTACGAGCACCTTTCTCTACAAGCATGATTTCACGTTATCTGAAAACACATCCAAGCACTAATCGGCGACCTAGACTCTCGCAGCCAAAGACCTCTCGCAGCCAAAGACCTCACGCAGCCAAAGACCTCACGCAGCCAAAGACCTCACGCAGCCAAAGACCTCACGCAGCCAAAGACCTCACGCAGCCAAAGACCTCACGCAGCCAAAGACCTCACGCAGCCAAAGACCTCACGCAGCCAAAGACCTCACGCAGCCAAAGACCTCACGCAGCCAAAGACCTCACGCAGCCAAAGACCTCACGCAGCCAAAGACCTCACGCAGCCAAAGACCTCACGCAGCCAAAGACCTCACGCAGCCAAAGACCTCACGCAGCCAAAGACCTCACGCAGCCAAAGACCTCACGCAGCCAAAGACCTCACGCAGCCAAAGACCTCACGCAGCCAAAGACCTCACGCAGCCAAAGACCTCACGCAGCCAAAGACCTCACGCAGCCAAAGACCTCACGCAGCCAAAGACCTCACGCAGCCAAAGACCTCACGCAGCCAAAGACCTCACGCAGCCAAAGACCTCACGCAGCCAAAGACTGGCAAATCAACCAATAACCTCCTGACTGGCAAGGGCGAGCCCCAAGATCTCTCTTCCAGCTATGGCACCGTGCCAGCCAGGAACTCGGACGCTTGCAGGAAAGATTCCTGCTGCATATGGAAGCACATTGCCGATAAAATTCACGATTCCATGGTGGAAGGCAAAGCATGCAACGGCGTCGCCCGCGGTGCTATCCGCCTGGGCTTCCAAAACGCAGGGAGCAGGTCCAAGAGCACCGGTAAAGCCGGCGGCGCAGACGGATCCGTCATTCTAGCAACGAATGCGAAGACAGTCTGCTCCCAGATGAGGAAGTAGTTCGACAAGTATAAGCCGTGTGGTATTGGCATGGCAGACCTCATCAGTTTGGCGCTGCGGCTGGGACGGTGACGGGGCCTGCTTGACCACGCATTCGAACATTGTAGGTCGAAAGGACAGCAGGGAGCCCGCGCCAAAGGGCGACTTGCCTTCAGCCTTTGACGATGCTGATGCCCTTGTTGGAGTGTTTGAGGACAAGACGACAGGCCCTGCTGGGTTGGTGGCGCTTCTGGCTGCACACACGGTGAGCCGGCAGACGACGGCGTTTCCTGACAGGCCGAATGCTCCTCAGGATAGTACGCGGGGGCTTGTGGGACACCAGATATTTCAGGGAGACGATTGACGAGAAGAGTCGGCGGGAGGCGGTGAAGTGGGATAGTGATGTGAATATTGCGACGGATACGCGGACAGGGGCGTTGTGGAAATCATATGGGCAATCAGTGTCTTGTTGGGCAGCTTTCTTGGAATCAAGTACGTTTCTTCGTCGAGGTTTTCTGAATTACCTTTGCTAACGGTGCCGTAGGACTATGCGAGGGAGTATATTCGACCGAGTTCGCTGGATGTTTACGGCATCAACGACTTGATGGAATGTACAAAGGCCCTACCCAAGTTTGCGGGTAGTAATATGATTTGATGGGTTTTGAGGGGAAAGGAAACAGACATAGGATAGTCGGCTCCAAAGCATTTGAAGGACACTTGGCATAAAATATATTCCACGTCTTACATGTATCCAAGTTGATGCTATCCCGCTCATCTGGGGTCAGCACACACAATACAACTGCACATTTTCCCACTCAGCATCGTAGAGTGGTAAAGTGGGCGGGAAAAGAAGTAACTATAATGATCGCACTACCAAGCTGCTAACTTGAAAAGAGAAAGAAAAAAGCATGGCTGTATTAAAATTTACCACATGTCGAGCCGCGTCTCGCCCAAGCGCAGCCACTTACACCACTGAACCTAAAATTGCAACAATGATCAAGCACGAGAATACGTCCTGGTTCGCGCAGTCGTCCTTACGGAGAGGTAGCTGGGGACACTTCCCTTCATCCCTTCGAGATGAGCGTATGTGCAAGACTGTGATTTGGATACCAGCTTGACCAACAGCCCAAACCACAATATAGGCATAGTAAAATCATGCAGGTCGTGTAGGCGGCTTGCCACAATCAAAAGTACGCCAACGCACTTGGTAACCCAAATAGATGTGTTATTCCAGAAGAACCACTAGCTCTGCATGCTTAAACTACCTTTGACTACAGATTAAGCTCTTGGCATTTCCCGCCGTTGGGACACCGGCGCATGTGGTTACGCCGAACCATCATGTCATATAAACTTCGACGCAGCATACAAATCCAAAACACAAAGCCTGCGTTTACTGTCTCTTTCTCCTCGTCTCTCCTCGTCTCTCCTTGTTCGTTTCGTCTTTCCCTCCTCGTCATCTACCGGACAAAGGAAACACGTCAAAATGCACCTCACCCAGGTCGTGCTCGGCGTCATGGCCCTCGCCGTGCCAACGTGGACTACACCACCGCCGGCTGCATTCGGCTACAACGGCACCGACTTCCTCCTCCGCGGCAAGCCCTTTGTCATAATCGGCGGGCAGATGGATCCGCAGAGAATACCATTCGACTACTGGCGGCGAAGAATAGTCGCCGCCAAGGCACTGGGCATCAACACCATCTTCAGCTCCGTCTTTTGGAACGAGATGGAGCCGGAGCGGGGCAAATGGGCTGGCAAGAAACCAGCCAACAACCTCACCGACTTCGTACACATTGCCAAGGAAGAGGGCCTGTATGTGGTCCTCCGCCCGGGGCCGTACGTCGGCGGTGCACGAGACTGGGGTGGCCTGCCGTACTGGCTCTCGCGGATCCGCGGCCTCAAAGTGCGAAGCTACAACGAGCCGTTCCTCAACGCCACCAAGAAGTACTTTTCCCGGCTGGCCAAGGACCTGGGCCGCTTGCAAATCACAAGGGGGGGCAACCTGATCATGGTCCAAATCGAGAACGAGTACGGCTCCTACGGCGACGACATGCGGTACAGGGAAGCCCTGCGCAACATGGCCGCCTCCCTCTTCGACGTGCCCCTGTACACCACCGACGGCAGAGACAAGCTCCTGCTCCAAGACGGCCAGACCCCCCGTGTACTGTCCGTCGTGAGCGGCGGGGCGGGGGGGGGCCCCCCCCCCC